ATGTGAATTGTATATCTTTAATGCATTGATAGTTTTCCTTATAGACCAAAAAGAAAATTTAACAATGCCTTACTAAAATAAATTGAAACAACAATCAAATTTCGATAGGCGTCGGTCTAGAGTTTCAATTTCAATTCATAAAAATGTTAGTAGATTTTTCTTGGTAACTTGTTTAAAACAATTGTGATATCCAATGTCTATAAGGTTTTGGTAGTGAAAATATGTAAATCCTACTAAATTTTATATCGTATTAGATCTATAACTCACATTGGTTTTATTTACAACAAACCGAATCAATTATCTTTTAAAATCTGAAATTTACTCTGGTTATTTTTTTTCTGCAAAATACCAATTTGATAGTCGTTTTTTTCCATATACCAGAGGTTAGAGTCATTTGAAGACACTTAAGTTATTTCCTAGTCTTAAAATGCGAATCTCAATCCTGCATATGGCAGTATTTTGCATCTATCGTGTGTATCTAAAGTTTTTGTATTTTTATTAAGGTAAAGAAGGACAACGGACTGTAACGTGAACTATTCATAAAAATATTCCAAACATCCTATTCGTTACAGTCCACTGTTTTATGTTTGAATTTCAATGTTGTCTTTAATTAAGTTCGTTGAATTTTTTGTAAGTACAGTGTCAAGCAAGTATTTTTTTGTGACATTCCAACCGGGGCCGCCGATGGCAGTGATGTGTCAACTTTCCTCTATTTTTATTTTCATTATGTAAAAAATGTCATATCTTCGCCGAAGGTGCTGCTTTCTCTGAATATTATTCAGAGTTACTTTTAAATTAAATATCAATTTTATTTAACTGTCATTTTATGTTTACGTAAGAGCATTATAAGAGTCGGAGCTTCCTGAATAGCATGTTGCTGTCGGCTCTTCTTTCGAAACTACTGAGTTAATAGTAAATACCTGAAAAGATGTTTGAAGTACTTCGTTGTACAGTTTTAATCTTATTTTCTTCCGTTCATGTCTAGTCTAGGGCTACTTGATTCAACTGAATGCACTTTAAAATTATGAATTTTAATGAAGAGAGGGTATTAACGTAATTTATATTATGATTGTATTATTTCGTAGAAAATATAAACAACTGCTTGAAATTCATAATAACAATTTACTCAAATAATTTAATAATGAAACGTTACAGTTGTTCCTTTAGCGAACTGTGTTAATAAGTATAATTTGTGTTATATTTTTTCTCTAGCATACGTTATTTCGAATAACATTTTTAAATAAATAAAATGCTATAAACATTGAATGAACGACGCTTCTCAAACTATGTTCAATATTTGCAGTTAAAAATGAAATTCTGCTTCTATCGGACGAAAGGTATTCAAAGCTGTTGCTAAATTTGGTATTTAATCTATTCAAATATTTTTAGTGAGATATCTATACATGCATACCAGAGCAAATATGTAGCTAGAGTTACAGTGATGTATGTAAAAGGCAGGATAATTGTAAAAGTTATAATTATATGCTACCGAAAACATATTTTGGCAGTGTAACCGCTAATTTGAGGTAGAAATAATGATATACGGATAACTCTCATCTATTAAAATAACATTCTGCATATGTTTTAAAATTTAACCGACGTTATCAATTATTTTAATTGTTTAAATGGTATCTAAATAAATCATCGAAATAAGTCGCGAGGTAAACAATCCTGTAATGAAAACGTGTTAGCTAAAACTCACACAACATTATATATTAAAAGAATGACAAATAATGTGTTCATATAAAAGTTCGTAGTGAAATTAATAATTATCATGCAACATCTTCAATGTATGGAAAATAAAATAAGGTCTTTTATTTTGGCCTTTCATAATTTAATTAACATTCAAATTTTTGACTATGCTTTACAAGCAACTCTCGTGAAATATTTTATGGCTGTATAGTGTCTGTATACGCTTCGATGTTATCGAAGTATTCTTATTTTGTTGGTAATAATTTGTGAATGCATTTGTTTTTAACTAGTTTTCTTCACTCTTGATTCAACGAATTTTTTAAGGATATTAAAATGATGAATGATTATATCTAGTCTTACGATTTGTGTTAATATTAATAATTTATAAATGTTGTTCCTACGTGCTGTATGTTTCTTTTTTTCTATCAAATACTAAATATTAATAAAATACATATAAAGCATAATGTCAGATACGTCTGCTCGTGTATCCATTTATGAAATACAATACAATAGATTTGAATAAGAAATATATAAATAATATCTGTTGTATTTGAATTCAATTATCATTTCAATTTCTAGTTTCATTATTATATTACATTATAATGAAATGTTTTGTTTGATTGTTATATATAATTTTATAGTATTATTATAGTTGAACGTCATTGAAAATACTCGGCTTTATTTACTAATTAGCTTTCATATAGTTTACTCATTCATACTACTTTATACGACCCACTTTATTGTCATCGTTTATTCAATTCTAACGTAAGTCACACTTCCCTACAATGTTAAGTAGTTTTGTCTCATTTTAAATCTTCTCTTCCTATACATAAATATGTATTAGAAGGTCGATAATAATAAAAAAAAATTATAAACTTTTATTTCGTATCTTGTTTAAATGCAAAAACTTTGCGGCGCTATGCGACAGAGATCGTGTCTTACATAATAACTTAGGACCAGTAAAAGACTGCATTACATTTTAAAACATCTAGAGCCTTCTGATACCTGAAAGCTGCATTATGTCGGGATGATTCAAGCCCTTTGCAATATGTATCGGTGTTAAACAATGCAGGAACACTAACTTCTAATGGTGTTGTGTAATCTTATACATTTAAAATTTGTTCTTACTATACATACGTACTCGACGTGTTTATATTTGTTTTAAACTTGCATTTTAAATAATTAATTTAGTCTCAAACGCTATTCGGAGTTGAATTTACCTGTTTAATCGGGATTTGTGCTGAGATGTCATCCTCTAAATCGTCCTACATTGTTTAGCTAATGTTTATGCATGCATTGCTTCAGCATTATCACTTTTAGTCGTAGTTTATATTTAAAATTAAATAAATGATTACTGACTTTTGAAACTTATGATGTCTTTAAGAATATTGTGCATAATATAATGCGTCATATTATTTATGAATTAAAAAGAAATGTATAAATAAACAGTCTTACTCCGGGCGGTTTGAGAGTTTTTCAATAATTTGTAGCGTTTTTTATCTTGTTGACTAGGAATAGCGGTTATCGTTTAACTTAAAAAAAAATAAGAAATCATTTTTAATTCTCCTTAATTAATAAGTCATAATTTTTTTAACTTCAAGATATAGTATTGAGAAAAATGTTTACTGTATGTTACTACAATATATTGAATTACTTTTTATGATAAACAGAAATACAAATATTTATATATTCTGTGACGAAGTAAAAAATTAAAATTATTTAGGACTGAACCGCAAATCCCTCTATCAATTTATAATTTTCATATCCTCATTATGAAAATTGAAATAATTTGTTATGTATTTGAAATAATCTAATTCTGTTAATCATAATAAACGAGTATTTCATCGTACTTCTAATTTAATTTGTCGGTTGTATTGAAATTTCAATTTAATGTCGTGTTTGACAACATCAACGTTACGGGGCATGTTTCGTATTTACCAAATTTTAGCGATGCGTTTAATTTATCGACAGAGTGATTTCGATTGCGTATACTCTTGTAATAACAATTTACGTATTTGTTTTTCGCTAATAGTTTGCGGTGTATCTATTTGAGGTTTTAATCCTTTGAATACGTAATTAAAATTATCCAGCATTAGCTATACGATAATTTGTTTTTGAAACTTTAATAAAATTATTTGCTTTAATTCTGTTCATATATATATTGTGTACAGATCTGTGATGATAACTGATAAATTGCTTGGCGTAATTATAGCTTGAAACTGGTTTTGCATAAAGCTAGTTGACTACATAATAGGAGAACCGGAGTCTTTTACCTTATTATAACACAAAGCGTACATGTTCAGGTATAATCGACGTTTACAATTTAATTTTCCCTTCGCATCTGCCACGTGATTCAGTTTCATCGAGATGTATATTTTATTACATATTTCCTTTGTAAAATTTTCATGTCACAATTAACATTTTTTAAAGTATTTAAGGTTATCGATTTTTAATTTACTTGGCTCCACTTATTATGTTCGTTATATGTGTTGGAGTGATATATGCACTATATATTAATTGAATTGTTCTTACGGGGAAATTTAAATTTTATAAAATATATTACTTAATTATTAAAATTAATATTAAATTATAAAAAAATATCATTTTTATCGCATTACATATACATTATATATATGTATTATTTAAATATATTTTGTATACGGTATAATTCATGATCCATTTGGAACCATAATTACGCATTTATTAAATTAGGTTATTAGTAATTATGTAATTAAAATAGTAAATAATTATTTATATATAAAAATATAATATAATTCACCTATTGTATAGCTTTCATAATTTGATAAACAATTCTATTCTAATATCTTGTTACATATAACATACAGCTGTCATTAAATATAACTCCGCAATATGAATTCTGCGTGAGATTTGTATAGTACTATAAAATAATTATGATTTAATTAATCTGAATTGTATCTCTCTGTTATGTTTTATGATAGAACTTCAATAGTGAAACATTCAAATTTTGATGTACGAACGTTTTTTAATGTCTCTATTTTTATTCGACCGTGTAAAACGGATAATGAAAAATGTGTTAATGATTATCCGTATTAAATGTTAATTCCCTGCCACGAAATAATTCCTTAAATAAGGTAAATTATTTTCGCCTCGTTATAAATTCCGTCACTAATAGGTTATTTAAATTTTAAATCGTCGTGTTTCATACAAATTTTTCGTTCTTTTAATGTTGCATACCAATCGGCACCTTTTACAATTTTGTCATTTCGATTTTGTTTGATTTTTTTTTATGTATGAGAGTTGATTGTGGATTTTCATATTTGTTTCAGCTTTCCGTTGATAATGTGGCGTTGAGTACTCGCATAGAAAGCGGCGGTAACAGATATCTAGATCTCTCTGATACCTTCTATCTAGGTGGTATAGAAGCTGAGAAACGACAAAGAGCCTTCGCTAGAGGTGTAAAAGCAGCTGATTCTAGTATCATGGTACATTATTTTCTTTTTTTCATACATCTGGTATTACAACTATAGCACAATATACTATCGTTAATATATCGTTAGGGTTGCATCAAACCAATCGAGGTGGACGACAGGTTGTATGGTCTGCCTAACGCGGTTGTCACATACGGTATAAGTCCGAAGTGTGTTTGGTGGTACCCCTGCCAGAGCGCCCATCCATGCGTGCCACAAGCCGTCTGCGAGCAACACGGTCTAGATCACTTCACTTGCAAGTGTGATAGCGATCTCTGCATAAATCCCGACTACGCTGAAAAATATAAGGTTAGTAATAAATTTAATTCATTAATTGCTCTTTTTTATTATATAACACTTTACTTTAGAATAGCGGCATTTATATGTTAGGCTTCAAACGATATCGTTGCTTGAATAGCGAAACGAGAAGAGTACCGGTTGGTCTTAAAATGGCTGATTATTATGAATTATAATCTGGCTTTTTATTTAATAACCAGATTGCATTCATTAATTCCGTCCGCAAAATCCAGTCAACACGGACATTTAAATGGAATTCATATACTATAAGTTGTTATAATTTAAACTTTATTCATACATAAACATTAAAGATCAAGAAAAAACTTTGGTGTGGTAATATTTGTTACTGTTATTTTAGGTATTTTCAAAATCGAGTAGTGAATTGGAACTGGTCACTTTATATCCTCTGACCGTCCAAGAGGGTGGTGTAGCTGTTATAACATCACAGAACATAGATGTCGTATTAGACCACCATAAGTATGGCGTTCGTCCATCTGGGGTACTCCTGCATGTGGCAAGATCGCCACAACACGGCCGCATAGCCATAGATCTCTCGCTACAAAGGAACGCGCCACAGTACACAAATTACGTGGACGGTGAAAAAGCAAAACAGTTCTTCACTCTCATGGATCTTACCAGAGATAAGGTGATAATTATTATGGAGATATAACAATAAATCTCGTTACTGTATTGACACTTTAGTTGATGATTTTATTAAAAATATCTGAGACACTTAACACATACTTCACTGGAAGACTTCGAGAAACAGAGCAAAATGTCCTAGTTTAAGCTATTGCCTACTTTATAACATATTTCAGGAGTTTAGTATAGTTTGATCGTGAAACTAACACGATCTTCAAAGCATCTCCCAGAACGTACATTCCGAATAGAATATTTAAAGTTATTTTCATTTGTACATTCTGTAACAAGAGTGAATTTTTACGCTCGAGTCAAGTCAATCATTTTGTGAAATGTACATTCATATAGGAGTAAATACTAAAATTTGTTTTTGTAGGTTCGCTACGTCCACGACGGTTCAGAAAATCACCAAGACGCTATAGTACTAGAGATGGAACTCATACCTGAGACGAAGTTCACACTGCCAAGCTACCTCCAAGGACGAAACACGTTCGTCCTACACGTAAACGTAACGCCGGTCAACGATCCACCAGTACTTAATTTGTTGCCAGGGAAAATATTAAGATTGACTCAGGTATTATTTTTCCAATGGTATTTTTTTTTTTTTTTTTTTTAATTTTTTTTGTTTTGCGAAATGCTGCCAGCCTCTCGATTTTGACGGCGTCATCAGAATAATCTTATTTTACTTTTTAAAATAGTAGTTCGTCTTATTATCAGTTTAATCTATTGAAGCATGTCTCTTTTTTTGTTTTTTAATGCTGTTTTCTTGTACTTGATGTGATTTTTTTCTATATTTTTCTTTTTCAGAATTCGTTGCTCGTCGCGTAATTTATTTTTAAGTTGCATTTGAGTAGTTGCATGCTTTTTTGTTTGGCTCAACACAAATAACCTTGATTTACTACTAATGCAGTGAGTATAAGACTATCATATATCAAGAAAATATTTATATATTTCTAAGAATTACTTTGAAGAAATTTAATACGTATATAACATCGAAGATAAATAATTAAGAACGCGTAGTAAGTTTTACTAAGATATAGCGTGATGCTTGATGAGAAATTGCACTTAATTAAAATACTACGCATATTATGTTCTATAATATAATATCTATTTTTTTGCTTCTTTAATAATGTAGGTAGTAAAGCTAATACACTGATTCTGCCTGAGTTAATATTATTCGATAATATAGTATGAGTATGACGATATTTTTTGACCTTTAATATAAAATTACAGGGAACAAGAAAGGTTATAACCTCCGACATTTTGAAAGCAGAGGATCCCGATACACTGCCCGAAGATCTTTTGTATACTGTACTGCATGGAAAGAATGAAGCAAATAGGTACTTTAAATTATCTAGCCTTCGTAAAAACTTAATACATCGCTCGTCTGCTAGTTCAAGTCCCATCAAATTCGGTTAAATAGTTCCAAATTAGTCAGAAAATAATTGTTAAAAATCGTAGGAGTTTTGCCAATCTCGTTGTCTAGTGTAGAACACCCTGTATATACCCTGTATAATGTATATACCATTTTTTCTCCAGCGGCCATATCGAGATGTCCGGTCAGCCCGTGGATTCTTTCACTCAGCAAGACATCGACTCCGGTATAATATCTTACGTCCACGGTACAACTAGCGACAAGCAGTTGAATAAAACATCACTGAGACTGACATTACAGGTATATCTCTACTAATATTATAAATGCGAAAGTAACTCTGTCTGTCTGTTTGTTACGCTTTCATGCCTAAACCACTGAACTGATTTTTATAAAATTTGGTACAGACAGAGTTGATTTTGAGGAAGAACATAGGATAGTTTTTATCCCAGACTTCTGAAAGGTTGTCTTGGAGACGCGATGTAACCGAACTCCACGCGGGCGAAGCTGCGGGCGGAAAGCTAGTATTTACATATATGTGAGTTATGAGATTTCGAGGTGTGAAACTCGTAATAGTTGTATTAGGTCTTTGGAAATATTAAAGAATGGATATTTTTTATTAAAACCTTTTTTGAGATACTTTTATCAGGACAATGCTTTTCGATTAAGAAAAAAAATTGTTCGAATTGAGAGCTTCCTTCATCCTTACTAGTAATTGAAATTCTCCTTAGAATCGTTTCAGCAAATCTGAATTCAGCCGCAAAACACAGACAGACAGGAAAAAAAATGTATAAAAACAATAGTGAATAATATTAAATCATTATTAATTATGAAAAATATCTTCGTTGCTTGGTATAAATAATTATATGATTGTTTTTTCTTATAGGTCTCTGATGGCATAGAAACTAGTGGTCCGGGCGTTCTCCGTATATCGATAGTACCGCTACAAGTGCGTCTTGTTAACAACACCGGATTGTTCCTAGTGCATAACTCGTACGCCATAATAACAGCCGACAACCTAACATTCGCCACTAACGCAGACGAAACCAACGTTCAAGTCAAGTATGTTTATAAATAATAAATCCATAAAATATATATACTCAGATTTTGATTTACGCGCCAAAATTATTATTCAATGAATTTTTTACAATATTAAAAATTAAATTATTACTTGTATATACTAAATAATGCGTAACTATTTCAGATATGACGTAGTTAAACCACCTCAGTTCGGTGTTGTTGAACGTCTCCGTGTACTAGATGGCACTTGGCAAACTGTTGACACATTCACCAGTGAAATGATTAGTGCCGGTAGAGTTCGCTACATGCATATACTAGGAAACCCATCGCATGATGAATTTAAGGTACGTTGTGAAGTCTTTTCAAATATTATATAAGGTTTTGTTACTCAATGTTACTCCTGATAAATATTAACAATTAATATTTTATAAATTTATTTCTATTACAGTTCAAAGCGTCCGTCGGCACAGTACGAACGAACACTTTATACGATTTTCGATTGACTTTCATCAAACTCGAACTATATCAGATGACGAACGAAGAATTGGTTTTGAATAATACCAGAGAAGCCTTCATTTCCGATCAACACTTACGTTTCAAAACGAAACCGCTTTCGCTGGCAGGTGACAGGATACTATTCACAATAATCAAACCACCGAAGTATGGAATCCTACATCTGTCATCTGGCAAACATCATTTGCAACTGCACAGCACTTTCACGCAACACGATATCGATTCGGATCAGTTGTGGTACAGATTACATAGACGCGCATACTCTCACATACAAGACGAATTCACCTTCGTGGTAGGGGCTACGGAATGTGAGAATATCACGGGAGTAATGACAATAAGACATGTGCCGAGCACATCCAGTAACGATCACTTGTCAGGTAGAATACATACTACGTTGGAGAGATTGCAAGTCATAGAAGGTTCCAGAATGGCGATACCAGCTACTCACCTTAATTTCAGAACGGATTCCATAACGAATCTAGTGTTCAATATAACGCGTCCACCTAAACACGGCAAAATTGAAGTCATCAGCGATCATTTGAAAATTCTTAGAGACAATACCACGTATTTCACTCTACAGGAATTGAATTCCGACAGAGTTTATTATACCCACGATGACTCGGAAAGTAGGCACGATTCCTTCCATTTTATGGCATTAAGTCCTGAACCGGAAGACTTTCAGTACGTCGGAGTTTTTCATATTGACATCATATTGAAAAATGACAATAGTCCAGTGCGGGCGAATGAAAAAGTGTTTCATATAGTTCACGGAGGAGCGAGACTTATAATGGCCAGGGATTTGAGCTACACCGACGCTGACTTGGACACTAAGCCTTCAGACATAGTGTATACCGTACAGAGATTTACAAAAGATCCACCAAACGGTGGAATATTCCGTGCCGATAATCCATCAGAACAAATAGCTCAGTTCACACAAGACGACATCAATAAAAACCTTGTAATGTTCAAGCATCAAGGCAAAGAGTACGGTAAAATAGCGTTTTGGATATCAGACGGTTTATTCGACGTGAACGGTAATTTGGAAATACAAGCTTCACCTCCCTTCATAAGAATGTATCCAACTAACGGTTCAATTGTGGAGAATGGAAAATCCGTCGTCCTAACTACCAAATACATGCAGGTAATATAAAGGTTTAGTAGTAATCGTGTACCTTGGGTACACTACCACTACTACTTTTATACTTACAGGTGGACACTAACATGAATTGCCTAGAAGAAGACATCAGATACGAAATAATACAAGAACCCAAACAGGGTTCTATAGAAGTTGGTGAAATTTTGGGATCAGTTGCATTCACTCAGTTAGACATAGCGGCTGGAAGAGTTGCTTACAAACACAGGGAGCCCAATACACAAAACGATGCTTTTAGGTTAGTACGAATAAAACAATATGCTATATACATCAATATTATTCCTAAATTATTTTCGTATATAATTTTTACTAACATTTATTTATAGGTTTAAAGTTACGTGCCTTGAGGCCTGGGGAGAGGGTATATATCCTATTAAAATATTTCCGTCCAGTTATTGGGAACCTCTCAAATTAACGAATAATAAGGCATTAGTTGTCGAAGAATCAACTAGCCTGAACATCACGAGAGATATACTAGAAGTAAGTTCTCATTGATATTATATTAAAAAATAAATAAACAAGTATAACATATTGATCGTGTTTTAATTACTTCACAGGTTATGCATCCGCAAATTGAACCTTCAAACATTCTATATCAAGTCACCGATGGCCCTTACCACGGTTGGTTGGAAATTACCACAGTGGGTACGGTTGAATTGGAGAATTACAACGAGGAGCCAGTCCAAACAAAAGTGTTCGATCAATCTATCATAAACTCGAATAGATTAGTCTACGTACAAGCCGGTGTGAATCGAACCAGAGACAAAATCAAAATGGACGTCACCAATGGGATCGTTTGGCTTAGAGGAATAGAACTCACTGTTATAATAATACCGGAGCATTTTTACGTTGTTTCCTCAAATCTAACCGTTGTAGAGGGAATGTCTGTTAGTATCAAGCAAGATTTGTTCAGTACAGTTACGGAATACTACCGCGGGCGAGTCGTCTCGTACAAAGTTGTTCAGAATCCGAAATACGGCAAAATAGTTATGGAAGAGCAAGAATTGACATTGCTACCGGTACTAAAGTTGAATTCCGGAAATATTGTGGTAAGGACATATTTAAATTCAATGATTACAAATATTGTTAGTAATTTAGATGATAATCTGTAATAATGTCTTTTAGCTACCAAAATAGACTTAATAGTGATATTCGAAAAAATGAAATACGGTTATTACCTAAAATTTTTTTGGGTTTATTTTTATATATTTATTTTATTATTTATAATAATTATGTACGAATCTTTTCCTTTATCAGGGTTTTTTATTTGGACATTCTTTCCTTTACAAATTTTTCTTTTGATTTCAGTACACTAATGACGGCTCTGAAGAGTCAACTGATGTGATAAAGTTGGTTGCGATCACGGAAACTGGTAAGGAAAGTGAACCGTTCTACCTTCGTATCAATATAGAACCAGTTAACGATGAACCACCAATCGTGGCCGCTAACACCGGCCTCTGTGTGTGGGAAGGCGGAACATTTACATTCACTAGAAATGAACTTTGTGAGTAATAAACGCAACGTAATAAATTTAATATGTATAATTAATATACTTTACTCTTTATAATATATGATAATTTACAGATGTCAACGATATTGATACGCCATTAAGAAACGTCACAATTAGAGTGGTGGATATTGTCTCTGGTTACATCGCTACACGAGGCGATCTAGACACTCCCATAGATCACTTCACGCAAGCCGATATAGATAATAGAAATGTCGTATTTGTTCATAAGAGTAAGTTTTACTTTATTATATAATAAAAATACATATTAATTATATTATTTTACTTATACATTGCATTTTTTATTCATTTACAGACGGATCCAAGGGCAAGATGATATTTAACGTAACCGACGGTCTACACGAACTATCAAAAATAACATTCCTTATAACAACAAAATCTGTTTCCCTCAAGTTGGTAAGGAAACATTCACTGCGAGTATTCCCTCTGATGAGAGAACCGCTTAACAATTACCTTCTGATGGCGAAATGCACGGATCCAACTAGACCGATAGTTTTTAAAATTGTTAGAGCACCAGCTCTTGGCAGGCTGGTTATGCTAAGTGGGGATAACCATCACAGATCCATAACACAATTCACGCAGAGGGATATAAATGAAACTACAGTCTATTACGAACATACCCACCCGTTTTCTGATCTTTATACTAACGACTCCTTCATATTTAAAGTCGAGGCAGCATTGGCTAAGCCGGTACTAGATCAAATATTTCATATCGATATATCGGTGGCATCCGGTGGTTTGGCAAAGTATGTGAATATTCCATTGACTAAAGTTAAAGAGGGCGATAAAATTCCATTGCGCGTGAACGTGACTAATGTTATAACATATTTGGAGACACAAGCTGGTGTTAGACAACCACAAATTGAGGCACAGTGGTCGTTACCGATACACGGTGTCTTAAATCCTTTGTTATCGTCGCTAACACAAAGCCAGTTGGAAGATGGCGTGGTCACATATGAGCATGATGGCTCAGACACGGTTGACGACAGTATAGATATGGCGCTTTACTTGTTACCAGATTATGTTCTATTGTGTAATGTTACAATACCGATTCATATCGTTCCAGTCAACGATCAACCGTTTAGGTTGTTGACCGACACCCCACAAATACAAGTTGTGCAAGGAGAAAATTATACTTTAACTAAAAACGATTTGCTCACTGAAGATGGTGATACAGTACCATCGAGCATACTCTATGATATAATAAGCGGCCCCACACAAGGTAGACTTGTTATGATGGATGAAAATCAGACACTCGATGAGGCGCAATCAATAAACAAGTTTACCCAACAGGATATAAATGATGGTAGAATTGTATATGAACATTCAGGCATATTGCAAACAGCGACATTCTATTTCCGCGTATGGGACGGAGAATTCAAACCGACCTATACAGTTTTCACTATAGATGTCATACCAGTTATATTAAACGCGTCATCACTACATCCGATATTCTTGCAACAAGGTTCAAACGTGGCGACTGTGGCACCAGATCAAATATATGTAGAAACTAATGCCAAAAAAGAAAAAGTTTGGTACAATATAACTAGACAACCGGTTCATGGGATGATATACTTGGGAAGGAATCCTGTAACCTATTTTTCACATAAAGATATAACGGATAAAGTAGTTATTTACATGCAGAATGATATGACGGTAGCGAATGATAGTTTTGATCTGATCGCCTACGTCCATAATAGCAACGCCACACAGCCTTTCACCATAGACGTTGTAGTGCAACCATTACTGGTATTGGGTGATTTGAAAATTACTGATCAGAAAACAAAAATAACATTAAATAATTTGGATGCGAATGAGTTGGCCAAACTCACAGCGAGCGATCCGGTTTACACGATATTGAAGAAACCAAGTTATGGAAGTATAAAAAAGATAATAAGAAGCTCTGGCGAGAAAACTAGCGCGAGGGAGAGAGAGATAGCGTATTTCACTCACGAGGACATAAAAGCTGGTGTCATATACTATGTGGCGAGGAAGAAATTGGCTGCCCTAAACGGTGTCCAAGATAGTCTTGGTTTCCTACTTGCTGCGACAATATTCCAACCAGCCACCGGTGAGCTCGATATTTATATCGGCAAAAAAGGTGATAAGAAAAGTTTACCTGGACCAAGCGATCCTGAAGGCCACGAAGGAATTCCGGTAAGAAATTCTTAATAAACATTATTATTATTAAACTTTGATTTTTTTGTAATATATTATTCTGTTGTTTAGGTAAAAAATGGACAATCATCATCATATTATATGATGGTCATAATGACGTTGCTTGGTGTACTTCTAGCTGTTATAATACTAGTTAGTATATTGAAATGTCGTCGTTATATGACAAGGGATCAGAATGCTATGGTTAAAATACACGGGCAGAGTCAGGGCGCGGTCGCTCCTATACCATTACCACGACCACCGGACCACTTGATGCCGTCACCAACACAAGCCAGTCCTCCTATAAAGAGGTGATTAATAAAAAAGTTTTTATATATTAGTAAATTAATTTTAAAAATTTTAACATTATATAATATATTATATAGGTATGTGTCTTCGGAGCAATCGGTACACACTGGCACTAGTACACCTCTACCGTCAGGTGGCAGTGTAGCTTGTAAGGTGACCCCATTAGCGGACGCTGGCCTACCAGACCTCAACGCAAGGTATCCTTATGGAGCCGATGACCATACCGATGTGAGTTCTATATATGAACTAGTAAGAAATATTAGTCAATATTAATGACGATCTTCATATAATATTGATTATGTAACGATTGTCTAACAAATGTTTTATAGGCGGAAGATTGGAGCAGCTATGAGGCTAGCGAGTCAGCGTTCCCGGTCCGCTCAGGCGGTGTCCCCACCAACCCGATGCTGCGCCGCAACCAGTACTGGGTCTGACCCATAGACAACCACACCCTGCCGAGGGTCAGGCAAGGTGTGGACTTGAGCTACATATTGACATACATATATACATTCTATGTGATTTCATTGGCTAGAAAACATTTTCACTTCTATATTAAACCTTAATGTCTTTTCTTCTACCTGGCAATTTCTCCGCTTTAGTCAGGGTCTGCCTTATATGTCGTGTAAGTTTTGCTTGGCCACCACTGATTTGATATTAAACCTTAATGCATTATATGAATTACATAAACAATTAAGTCGCTAGCTAAACGTAGTTTCTTGTAATCCTCAATAGATGGCGCTATTTATAATCATGGTAATATAGAAATCAATTCTCAACATTATGAATATAGTTTGTTATAAATATTGTTTATTATAATTTCCAGAGGAGCCGATCCCTCTGCAGGACTGCCTGACGTTGAATCGTCGGCCTCCGAGACATAGTGTCGACTTTGTACCGACACCATTCCTACTGAGCAACTACAAAGGCGAAAAATACATCAACTGCGAAGTAACGCTCTAAATACGCAGAGCACGGTCCTAGTTCTGATGAAACCTCATATAATATTAACATTATATAATCTGTTGTATCATTTTTGAATGAATTCCATTCATTCATAGTTCTACACTATGAATTTTATATACTTAAATTGTCTCATAGTTATTGTTTTAAAGAATTGAAATGTTAATCATTGTGCCATGATGTTAGTTATTATTTAAAATTAACAAGAACAAACACATAAACGAACATACCTAAAAAATAGTTACCTGGTATACAATACTGACCACAGGTAAAATTATTGTGTTTAATTATATCGTAGCGTCGATACTATAGAAGAACATAACTTAAAATACTCTACGTACTTAACATTTCATCAAATCGATTTATACACGTGTAATTGTCGAATATGTGTAAAAATCGATTTTAATTAATAATTGTCTACTTTATAATCTGCTACATAAGATCGATATTTGCAAAACTCTATGTGAATTTATATATGATCTTTGTAACTGATTTAGGTAATAAGATTGATAATTTCATTAACGTGTCTTAAAATTCTAAAAACGAGTATACCTGCCAAATAAGTGAAACATATGCCAACATCAGTGCCAAAGTAATGTAAATATATACGAATATATATATAGCTTGTACTTTTATTCACTAAATTTATTTAGTGCTACATTAGTGATATACATAGTCTGATGTCTGATAGGTCATGTTTGAAATCTTTTTTTTAACATTTAATAATAAGTTGATATGTAATGTTAAATTTATTGTTAGTTATCAATGTTCTAAGATTCTAACCTAGATGTAAGTTTATGCTTGTAAGTTATATGTTTTTAAATTTAACAATATATGTAGTTGAATAGTATACATTTTCTTTTTATTAATTTTTTTGTAATCCATAGTTTAAGTTTACGCAGAATTATTTGACAATAACAATATAACCGGTTGTAGTTTAAATTTTAACTGTACTCTCAGGTTTAGGGATCCTTGACTATTTCTTTGTATGAAATATGAAACATAATTTTGATGTCTACTGAAAAGTATTGGGAAAATATTGCTGTATTCATATATGTTTGAGCTTGAAATTATTATAATTGTATTATCAGTACGTATTTTACAATTGGTAACCACTGTATGTGTCATAAAATATAACTACCTAGAAATTCTGTGTAAATAAAACTTCCATTTTCCAAAGTAAATAATTCAGAAATATAAAACTATGATAATATATATCAATAGTCCATATAGTGCAATGCTTGAACAGATGAAAATCTTTTTAAATAAGAGTTTGAATGTTGCAATAAATATTAGTATAAAAATATTTTAAATGTTGGATATTAATTCATTTGTTATGAAAAGACTTAACTCTTCTCTAGGAGCGTGTAATTAGAATTTAAATGTTTGACATATAATTTTTTTTCTATAATATTAAAGTATATAAACATTTTAAATAAACTTCATGAATATAGATTTTTTTTTTATTAATATGAATAGTGAATTTGATAGCACCTATACCTTATATAGTATTTCCTTTGATCGTGAGCATAAGAGCAATATTTGTTGGCATTAGAACGTTCTGTAGTATATGTATGATTTTTACTTGTTTAATATGTTTTTTCAGAATGAATCAATTCTATAGACTTTTCTCAATAGTTAATAACAGGTACATAATGATTGATTTATATAATGATCTGTGTGCACTGACTTTCTCATATTGAATGAAACATTTAATTTATAATTTATGTTTCATATTATATGAACCTAATAGTTTCTATCAATGTTTAAACAATTAATAATAAAAGTTCCTAAGTCTAAAGAGACGTTCGTTCTAAATGTCTGGTTATTTGAAGATATTTTTTTAATCAGCTGAAATTTCTTGAAGAGCTAACAATATCCTTGTAATCGTCGTATCTGTCTGTATGTTCCCCATTAACTATAAAACTGTTTATATAGTGTTATAAGCTAGTATCAATTATATGCCATTCACGTGGTTATGTTCTAGCTGAATGTAGAATGTAAAAGATAAAACAATTTTTAATCGACTGACATTGTGACGTAGTATTATCTTCCGCCTCTTGCAAACAAACGATATACTTGTTACATATATACAGTACGAACTATCGCTATATGTAAAGTGTGACGTCAGCATATGTATGGTACATCTGTTAGGTAGTCAAGATTTTTATTAAATAATATACAAAAAAATTACAATGGTGTTTTATTAAAAAGACTTTGAATCATTTAAGTTTTTATTTATATAAAAAATTAAGTGTCTTAAGCTAATGTAATAATATATCACAAGAAACTTATAATAAGTCTTAAAGATGATCTTAACAGAATATGCGAAATATATCCCAGCCATTTTATTCTCATCTTAATCTAAAAACACTTACTTATATGATTAAAACTAATTAATTATACTAAAGCAAGTTCAAGACAGCATATTATAGTATATTGTCATTATGCAAAATATAATCTCACTATCTAGGTATCTAGATGTATTTCTATAGGAATATAAGATGCTTAATAAGAAAGACCATAAATTCTAAAGAACAACATCAGTGAAAAGTTTTATCATTATATGATTAGGATTTTTGTTACCGCACTAAACAAATATCTTCAAATTTAAAATTGTGTCATTATGACGTATAAGACAGTTTGAAAATCAAATAAAAAATAAACGTGACCAATTCGTTACTGTTCATAAACTATAGTGCTTTTTGAACTATTCTAAAAAGTAATTAAAACAGTCATAGGCATCGACATATACTAATGGAGATGCCTTAGAGATGAGTATTGTGGCACTCCGAAAGAAAGAGAGGAAACGACGTTTCGGTCTATCTTTATCTCTCTCAAAATAGTACCGTACTAAAGACGTTATGAGCCCCTTCTGGATAATTTATATGCCGTGCTTGTCATGAAAACTGAGCGCCAATCATCTATGAGGAAAGAGATAGTGCTAGACCGAAAGCATACGCCATCTCTCTCACTCTTTTCAAACCAAAAAATACTGCAGATTATACGCGTACGGCACGTCTATTAGTATATGTCGATGGTCATAGGCAAGGCGGGGAGCGAGAACTGTCATAGACAAGTTCGGGCAGTAAAATTAATCGACTTCAAGTTTCCTGAAGTTTCCTGTTAAACCTCTCATCGCGTCTCCAACAGAATCTGTAGCAGCACAAGTGCCACCAGCTCTTAATGCGGACACAGCGCCCTCTCGCGCTGCTTCGCTATACATTTCTAGGCGAACAGCCATCTTGTCGTTCATCAGTAACGTTTCCCTCTTACTTGCCATTTCCACTTTCCATTTTTCTGAAAAGATTTGTAATAAAAATATAGTATATACGGAGACATTTTTAAATCTTGAAATAAATGTTCTGTTTTTGTGGTGGCCAAAACTATGGGTGTGTCAACTAGTGTATCATGTTTCTGATGAATAAAAAGGTTTTTTACGTGTTATTAATATTATTTTATTAATTTAATTGTAATCTTACCAATCATTGTCTTCATTGGCATCGTACCACCATACTCCTGAGGCAAAAGTTGTTTATCTATTTCTACGTCTTCTATGGATGTGTATAACTTGACGCGCTTTCTGATCTTCTCAGATATGAGAGCCATACCAAAGTCCAAAGCAAATTTGATAGTCGGATGAACATTAGCGCCATAGATTTCCTTGTGCCTTAGTGGAATCGTGCGCTAAAATGTCGGATAACAAGTTAAATTAATTGAATATTTACAAATCCGTTTCATGAACTATAGGTATATCAAATTTACCTCTCCATTTTTTACTATCCTAACAGCTTCTCTCGGAGTGAAGAGTGTAAGGTGTGGGAAACTAACACCGCCGCCGTCTGCGTAATGCACTAATCCTCGCACCTGGGTCTCCTCGTCTTCCATGAGCGTCTCGTAGCAAATACCCATTACCCGACACATGTCTTGATTGGTGAATTTGTATGGATCGAAAACGCCTGTGTAATAAAATAAGCAGATTGGTTTTGTTAAAACAGTTGCAATCAGATCCGAATAAACGAGGTTATTAATTAATTAAAATTTACCTGGTCTGTATATCACAACTCTTCGTCCAAGTTTGTCTTTGAATGGACTTGCAAAAATATATCTGCGAATTAAACAACAAGTATGATTATTTATAGACTTAAAAATGTATTGAAAAATAAATTATAATGCGTTATACGTAATTGGGATTGTCAAGAGACAAGTTCAAAATAAATTAATTTTATATATCTAAAATATTATTAAAGATTTTCATAATTTCGTACCCTAAATCGATGATTTCAGAAATGACAGGCAGGGTGTAGTCCAATTGATTAAAAGCTATCCCCCATGACTGACGAAGGAGTACATAACGTTCAATAGCCTCTTGAGCCATTGGAACGCTGAATTTCTTTGTACGGAGGAAACGCAGAAGGAAATTGGCGTCTAAAAAAATCAATTAAATTACAAAAAATAGTACGATTACTTGCAGGAATAAAAAAAATCCTAAAGTATCTCCATTTAATTCTCACCATTAAAATTGTTTTTAATATCTAAATATTTTTTTTATATCTATATAAAGTTTATAGCCTTTGTTTTTTTAAGATTTAATTTGAACATTTAATCTTAATAATACATTCGGGATATAAAGATATTGTGCTAATTTAATGTAATTAAGGAATAACTAACCTAATCGTATGGACAAGAATTTTGGATTCTGTTCCAACCACTTTCTTAAAGCCTCTAAGGCTTGTGACCTTGAATTTTCCGTTTCTCTCAGCTCCTTTTCGGCAATCGCTTGTGTTTCTGCTGACAGTGGACATTTGTAAGCATCCGCCGGGGTCAAATACCTTTTCGTAAGCCTCCTCGACATTTTGCAACTAAAATATACGCAAATAAAGTTATCTTATGCTAAAATATTAATGTATCTCTGATTTTTTTATATATAAGTTATAAACCTCGACTTATAAGGATTACTAATAGATATTTCTATAAATTAATAATCCCTCCAAACATAGTCCCATTCCATAACATTCCGACATAAAAATTGCGACGTAATTATACATTAAGAAACAACTGGAACGTAAAAACAATATTGCCGTGATGCTTTAACCGGCAGTTAATTGAATACGCGCGGCAACGATCATAATAACGATTACATATTACTGTAACAAGTAAACATTTGTCATATCTTGTAATTCAGTTGCCGTCATACATAAGACGTACTCCTCTCTATTTCAAAGATGTTGCGAAATATTTATTTACAAGAGCTGAGAAATGTCAGAAATACAAACTGCGGGCACTGTCTGGCTTACGTTAAGCAACAGACGGCTGCATTCGATGCTTGAGCAACGATATAATTTTTCCATGTTACATAACATAATATTTGGAGTCGACATATTGCGACGTCGAATTGTATGGAGATGTAAGAGCCCATCCATAAGAATGGATCTTCGCTTTGTTCACGACACATATGTATAAACGACAATATACTCTGAAATAAGATTATTATTTTAAAGTGTAGTCTGATTTAAAAAGACTTAGTATATATAAATTATTATGTTTACGTTACAATTTTAAACACAATCTATTTAACATGTCGATAATATTATTTGAACTGTACAAAAAGAGAGTGTTTATGTTATTTAGCTTCATAAATTGAAGTCGTGAAGCTTAAAGCTTTCATCACATTAAAGGTTGAAGGGGCGGGTCAAATCGCTCTGATATTTCGATACATCTGTTTATTGTAAAATATTGTAGGTTTTTTAGTTACTTTTATATAAGATTTCTTTGTTAAAGATTTTTTATTTATATATACTTATAATTGTTATAAATATTTAATATTTAGGTATAAATTAAGTTTTACTGTGAAGTATTTCACTCTATCGTACTGATTGTTAAACCAAACTTAACAATTCTAAATAATGCAACTATTAAGAGTATAAAAAAGTAAATAAAGAAAGTTCTTTGTAAGAAAAAAGCTTAAAACTAGGAAGCTTTCTTAAAAAAAGTCTCAAAATTCCTAAATCAACATTGATATTTTTGTGGTTATTTTTATTCATTTAAATAAATATTGTGCAACAGTAAAATTATTTTGATAAAAACAAGATAACATGTAATATATTAACATGTTATTAAGAATTATAATTATTACGTCAAAATTATATATAATACACTGTTCCTAGAAATAACAACTTATAATAACATCGCCAAGCTTGGAAAATATTGAAGAAAAAAAAAATTTTTGAAAATATTTAACCATTTAATATCAACCTATTCGCGTCGCCTCAACAATTATATTGCAATAAATAGGTATTACAATATATATAAAATAAAATATTTTTTTAAGTAAAATTGTCAAAAAAAAATTATAATAAATATCCATATAAATTTAAATCAACTCACATGTAATAGTCTATTGTCAAAAAACTATTTCGGATTCCGTGGAGCTGCTAGCTGTGTTCACAGCACTGAGTTCAAACCGAAACTGTGAACATACGAAATGGTACACGATCTTTTGCTTCACGATGTTGAAGTATCTCTGAAGTCAAGAGTGAAGACATACTTGGGAATGGCTGCAGGGCTCACCAACAATTGGACGGTTACATACAAAAGAAATCTGATACAACTAACTTAACGCGAAGTATTAAAACTATTCCGACATTTCTGCTGTGATATAAAAATCAACGGTACTTACTATAATAATTGGACCTTTAATTGGACTTGTTTCACATCGTCTAGTATGAAGTAGGTACTTTAATATGTAATTTTCGTAATTGCCTTAGTAGAAAACTTCAATTCATAGCTACGTGTATATGTTATTCAGTTGTTTAGTTTTAAATAAGAGCAATAACAATTTTCTTTGTTAAAACAAATGTCATCATATTTATAAACGTAAAACTTTTGACATGTATTGTGTCATTAATTTGCATATTTTTTACTATTAATTCAATTCATATTATTAGGTGTTTCTCATAATGATTTAAATAAAATGTTCTAAAATATGGATCATAGGCTAAATCGCGAGAATCGAAAGCAAGATGTAATGGATTGTAAAAGTAGTTATATTTGATCGAGATCAATTTATGATTCGTGTACAGCATGTTGCTTGAAGGCGTTTTAGTTAGATCTAGTTATTAGTATTACATAAGTTAAATTATAACAGATGTTGCGTATAAGATTAAGGTCGGAAAGATTTGAATCTAATTCTGTTACCGAGTTGTTGCAAGTGTTATATAAACTTGCAAACTGTAACGTCTATGTAAACAAGTCCATTGTCTTTTTATAAAAATGTGGTTTGGAATCAATTTTTGTGGTAACAAACCCAATTAAGTTTGAACCACAACATGAATAATCAGTTCCTTATTATTTTTAAAGTAATAAGAATTCCAAAGTTATGAACAATTTATTAAATACAAACGCTGAATGTTTTCTTAATAATTAATAAGTAATATATAAAAATTAATATTCTAATTTGAAATATTATATTTACTTCGAAAGTTGCAGTAAAAGTCAGGTTTTATTTTTCGTCATACAAAACATTGTTCTGCAAGTTTATTAATTTTAATGTACATTTCAATTATTTGGGTACCGAAGAGTCCCTTTAGCGACAATTATATAAATTAAGTTGTTGTATATTAGTTAAATGCTTGCGACTTAAATCAATATGAGAAATAATTCTACGACACTTGATAGAATTAGAGAAGTATTTCTTTCATAATCAACATATTAATTTTCCTTTGTTATCGAGTTGCAAGCTCCCGAATAAGACCATACATACTATACTCTAACATACACTTGCTAAAAAGTGGGATATTCTTATTACGAAAATTAATATTGACAAAAATCTTTGTCTATGCTTTCTATGACTTTGCACCTTTAAATAAAAAACCGACCACTTCAAATTTAAATAGTTATAAGTTATTGGGATACTTTGGTTACGTGAACTTGTTAATGAGAGTTCATGCTAAAATCCTATTCATTCGAACAAAGACAACAATTAATTCTAGTAAAAATTGAAATTATGGTTATTAGCATTTTATTAATACGTACAATATTTAAAGATATAACAAAAAAGAAACTACATTTCCGCCATATCTTTGAATGTCAACCTTTTTAGTTCACTTTCAACCTTGCTTATTACCCGCCAAATGAGATTATCTTACTAGTTACGAAAAATGTCACAGTTGATTACATAATGAAACAAAAGGACTAATAATGGCACAGGATTCTTTTATATTATAGGGTGACGAATATTTAAAGATTTAAGGTAAAAAACATTTGAACAATTATTACATTTAGGACCCCTATAGTGTGACCAGATGAATATCTTCTAGCGTTCAAAATTAGGCTTATCAGTAAATTTGTATTTAAAATAAATTTTAAAACTTTAAAATTCACGATTAATTTTTAATTAATTTGCTATAAAATAAAAATATTTTTTTTTATTAATCTGCGTCAACCACTTCCGCACAATCTTTTTTTACGGAAGAATTTTTTTATTAACACCCCTTATACATTTCAGTTGTTATATATATTTTTTAATACATTGTATTTCAAAGCCGTTAATCTCTTAAATGATTATTTATATGTTGGATCTATGGTATGGTGTTGGATACAATTGGAAACGAAGCATCTTGATTTTTCTGGATGTTTAAACTGTAATAGTACTCAGTTAAGTCTTACTTTAAATAATATCAACATTTTTAAAAGTAATCTTGACTTTGCTTATTGACCTCGAAATTTATTTGAAGTACTTACCTGCTTTCAAGACTTCCTTTCATGTTATTCAAGTTGAATGTTGTTATAAGTGCTATAAATAAATTTAATAAACATATCTCTTGAAACGAAAATTATACTCATATTTTTTAGGGAAATAGCTTAGTAATAGCATAAGGGATTTATTTACTGAGAATTACTTCAATCAATCGTCATTTTATAATCTATTTGAATTATCTTTAAGAGTTATTATTTATGTTGTTTGACCTACAACAGTAACACCAAAAGAATGTACGGAACTTTAAGTTTCGTTTAAAGTGTGTTGCTTTGTACTGACCTATTATATAAGATATTTATTTATGTTAAAGTAAGAATTATTCACATTACTTTATCCAGACGCAAGAAAGTGCATATATATATATATATATGTAGACGTACATATATATTATAGTTCTAAATTGTGATCTACGTACGTCTTCCGAAACAGAAGTATAATTATAATTAATACATTTCATAATAAATAGATTTTGTTTAAGTTGAAATGCTTTAAATAATAATGTTAGCTCACACTTAATTGATGTCGAATGATCTTTAAGTATTGCAAACGTCGTTTCACGTGTTGCGATGACATACTTAGGTGAAACCATGAGTCAATGACTCGAGATGAAAGGCACTTCGAATGTGCCAAGGTTGTAGAACAAAGGGCGTAGTCTTCGTTAACATATAACATATAAAATACTGTACTGGTTTAGTTCATATATTATGAAGTGGATGTTATTTTGAGCATGCATTCTGTGTAACGTTCAGTGTCAAATCGTCAATATGACAACATCTCCCGGCTTGCGTGTTTCCATAAACAGAAAACTTGTTTGCACGCGGAAAAAGCGACCTTCACCCAGCTTTTGGACTAGCTATTTCGGATTCTTTGTATAAATCTTCATATTGTTACTTTATTAAGATTTATACGACGCCTTTTATGTAACAGATGTTTGGAGTCGCTTTAAAAATAATTATATGGTATAATGAAATATATTCATAGTATTATTTTTTCTTTAGAATTAACAAACGACTTATAAGTCATAAAAAGGATTCAGGCTTGATTTTTTGCGTCTATAATTCAGAAGTATAACATTAAAATAAGCTCGATCCACAAAATATACTGGAAAATTCATTATTTATAGTGTGCAAAAAAATTATACCTAAAAGATTATTAAATAGTTAAACAAAAAAATATTTTTCTGACCACCAGAAATATGGAAATACCTGTATGTTTAATTACAGCCTTATAAAGATATTATACAATTTTAATTACTTCTCTTCGTTGACGTTTTTCTGAATTATTTCCTTCCCGCATTACAGCTGAACAAATCCTTTCGCAGTTTCACCTGTAGTGTTTTTGGTAGTGTATTCTATTCAAGGAGAAATAACTAACAATTTTATATATTTCTCAATAATTTCAGCCATGTATGAACTCTTAACATATTGTCGTACATTAACAAAATAACATCCACTTCATAATATATGTCGTACAATATTAAGTTTATGAGCTTAGCTACTAGCTGTCTCCAAAACATAGCAATATGCTTATTCCTGTAGTCAAAGCCCACCTTTAAAACTTTAAGTAAAATAAAGCAAAATTTCTCACAAATAAGTAAAAATCTGCAACAATGATTGCTTTTTTGTCAAACCAATTCTTGCTTCCTATAAATGTAAAAATCAATATAATTTATTATAATGAAAATAAAATAAAACTCGTTATTCAATATTTCAATGTGACAGGAAAGCTGATTTAAGTCCTTTCAAGGATTTGAGAGATGACCCTTAAAAGGACAACACATAAGACGTTCATGGTTGTACGATGCCTTTCATTTCAATTAAAGATGATTTTGGATGCGTCATCCGATCGGCTTGAAAATGAAAAACATCCAGGTGTCCTACTATGATCACCTGCAAATGCTGCATCACGTACAAAAAGACACCTAGATGCATACCTTGGATAAAGAATTTAGCTTATAACTGTAGTTATAATTGTAAATGAGACGAACTACACATTATGCGTTCAAACAGCTTTCATCCGATTTAATTGTTACTTCAAGTTGCTCAATAACAAAGAGCCTTTTAAATCAATATTTACGGATAAAGTTTTAGGGAAGCGGAAATTTATACCACTTACGTCAAATACGACAAAATTGCGTTTTTGCGTATTTTTTTTTAAATATACTATCACATATTGATGAAATTTCACAAAAAATCCTTGTGGAAATATTGACATATAGTGATGGTAAAATGTCATTTAGATTTTCTCATCGTTAATATTAGAGGAATTAATGTAACCTGTTGTATGCTGAGATTACTTTACACGTTTCCAAACAACTATTAACAATGACGCAGGAAACGTTTACGAAAGTTAAAGATTGTAATGACACACACACACACATATACATATCGCAAATATACTATATGTGTGCGTTTGTTATGGTACATTTTATTGTTTTGATCACTAATTAGACCGTTCTTGACGGGAATTTAAATATCAGTCAGATATCTAAATAATAAGGCTCTAAAACAGCAAACAGCAGCTCTAATACAAATACGTGTAATCCCAAAATTACGTGTAGGGAGTAGGAGAATAAACAATAGGTATTTTATTATTGTCCTAGACATAAAAACAGTTTAGCATAAGAAAATACAATTATAATATGTTTTTTTTTATTAAGTAATTATACTATTACGTTAGATAAAAATGATTCTATACCATTGTAGGATGCTATTTATATATATCAGTTTTGGTAAGTTTTTGTTCATAAATTAATCAATCCAGAATATATTATATGGCTGGCTTGGCTCAAAACAACCAAGATGAACGTAAAAGCCACGCAGATGAGCAGGATTACCGGCAAGTCGATATTGGTACACAGGATTTTTATAGGGGATTCCAGTTCGGCCATCGTGTGCTATAAAAATAAACGTCATTTATTATATATTTAAGATTTTTCATAGAAAGCTCCATATGAAATGTTCCATACACTAAAGATGAGTGACATTCAGACATTGCCTATCCATAATTTTATACGTGACTGAACTCACCATGAAACAACTGATTTGTATTTGAGGGTAGGTGGATTATCTTATTAATTAATAATATTATTAATTCATTTTGTTTGAGATTGTTGTAAATTATGTGATATTAAGTGTATTTTTTCACAACATTTTGAATTGTGACTTGTGACACATTTCTTTTTAATATTTTTTGAAATCGTTGAAAAACGTTTTTGATACCTACTGACAAATTTAAGTTTCAGACTTTAAGGCTTTTTAAATGACCGATAAGTTTAAACCTACCTATAGGTTAAGATGTATAACTTCAATGTAAAAAAAATTATTTTAAATAACCTTTACTTGTTACGGGTCATTTTAAAAAAATACTTTAGGAACAAAAATGGTGTAAAACGACATCTTGGCTTGGTTTTTTGAACTTAGTAACAGTATAAGATTCTATGTGGTTAGCTTAGTACAGACGAAATAATATTGAAGCACGAACACAGATGGCGTTACATGACTATTTACAGATTTTTCAACGTTATAACCGCAATCATGTTTTAACAGAATAAAACCAAACAACGTATTTGTTTAATTTAGAGAACAGTGTTGTTTACTTATATATTTATAATTTCTATAGTGAACACGATTTGAATAACAGTATTCTGTGCTTCAACTTACGCCTCACACCTGTCCTGATATTGTATCGCTTCACCTCAGTGTAATGCTTACTTTGACGGTTAACGGTCGCGTTTCTGCAGCTTGACAATATTAACACGTTCCCCTTTGAACTTATTTTGAAAGACCGATGCCGGTTTAAATTAAAATGCTTGCGCAATCCAGAGATTCCTTTGAGGAAGAATTTGGAAGACCCGTAGAATCTATAATGCGATGTGAGGATTTTAAAAGCAATTTCGCAAGAAGACTTTCAAACAGATATATATCCAAATCCCCGGTAGGGGGTTCGAGGGCTGACAATGTTAATATGTTAAAACTTCGTCCACTGAAAAAACAGGAAATACTTAAAAATGTAAGTTCTTTGATTTGTTTATTGTTTGAACAGTTTGTTTTGCAGGTAGGCGATAGTTTTGTTGATAGACTGTACTCTGTAGAGTAGGGCTACCGCTTTAACTAAGTGCGAAATTTAATCACATTTGGCACGATGACGACTTAGTGAAAGTAATATCATAGTTCCTAATGAAACTGCACTAGCCTTTACGTGGGTCCTGTTTTGCAATTTCATATTATAGCAGCGTGAACTCTAGGCAACCTTAATTGGTTATTCGATAGCAGAATCCGAATTGGATAACAATAATTGTTGTAAGGCTTCCCTTTAAATTTCTTTTATGTTAAAATTTAAAAGCTTTAAATATGAATGACTGAGTCTTATTCTGGTTTAAACTTTTTCTTGGGGTTTGTATTGTTGAGCACCCTTATATTAAATTAAGACTAGGGTGTATTGAGAATCAGTCGTTAAAGATATTTTACTTATCTTAGAAACTGATTCAAAAAACTGTATTCCACAACGATTTAGTCTTATTTTAATTTATTTGGAGTTAATTAAGATGTTTCAAATTTTATTGCCCAAAAGGATATCCTTTAATCTGAATTAAAACATGTTTATTTCTCTTATATATTTCGCATTAATCGCATGAAACACCCATTACCAGAAAGTAGAAACATTTATTCGCGTTGTCTTTTATTAATGTTACATATAATAAAACATACCTTTATACGAACGTATTTTTGTTGTGCAGAGAAAGTTTGATTTATAATAGAAACGTCTGTCTTTGTGTTAAAATAAAAAAAATAGGGTATAATACTGGTGTCTGTGACAATCGCGTGAGCGTTTGCGCTTTGTATCCGTACGTGCCGACATAATTATATTTTCTTATATTAATATGACATAATAATAAAAATGTATAAATTAATATAATTTTATACATCGTGATTCTTATGTAACATAATGAAACTGGTGAGGTGTTATTTTGATTTGAAATTATTTTACAAACAAAAGATTACAAAATTTATTTAATGCTTCGTCACCGGTATTTTTAATTATAAATATAAATAAAATATATATTTAACAAATTTTACGAGTAATCGTGATTGGTAGGATTTCATAGGCGACATCTGTATTATCAGAATTTATATACGAAAACATTATTTTGAAAACCCTTAAATATAAAGATTACGGTGTTTGTATTGATGTCTTCTGACATGTGTTAATAAAGAATGCCTGATAACGTACCGTGTGAATACTATTTTATTGATAACTATAACTAGTAACATGTTATATCACATTGCCGTGTATTTTTTATAATTTGAAGTTTTATCATAACTAATACGAATTGCAGTAAGTAGGGAGATAATTGGGACGAAACTACAGCGCGTTGCAAACTATAATTTATGTATGTAAATCTGGAAATAGAAAAGAGTACTAAATCTCTCCACTTAATAGAAAAGTCGGATTATTTTTCATTTATTTATAGTCACAATACAAAACATGTAGTAACAAAACAAAATTCTAGCTCTCAAAATGTATATCATTTGAACGTATTTTATCAAGTCGGTGCTTGCGTTGGATGTTGTAAAATTATGAAGTGATAAATATCAAAAGAGAGAAGTATTCTGTTTCTAGGGTTTATCAATCGATAAATAAGTTATCGATCCAGTTAAGTGAAAAGAATCCATCTAAAAATTATGGTGAACAAGTACAATAAGACAAAAAATAATATTTTAAACTTTCAACTTCTACTTGCAATAGTTCGGATTCACTATTATATGAAAGAAAAAAATTCAATGCTAAAAGGCTTTTCATTCCAAAAATGTTTTACTTTTCCCGAATAACTGTCTAGACTATAAATCAGTCTACATTTAAAACTGTTATCCATGTACGACTATTCACTTCCATTGAATTAAAAGATTTTTCTTTTTCTAAGCATAAAACTACTATACAACAGTCTTGCTATCGAATAAAGGTGATATTTGTCGATCAACTGATAAGTCAAATTAAAATATTTGGAAGCCTATATCTGTTACTGGCATGTAGACATGTTCGTCTCTTGTTACCTACCCTTGCTTCCTTTGGCCTGTAAAAATTCGCATTTTAATGAGATTCGTTTCCATATAAATAGTGAATTTCGACATTTTGCAACAACGTTTAAATACTCGCATGACCAAATATAGTCAAATGTAATTTACAACTGTTTGATTTCGTTGATTGAAATCAACAATCCGTGTCATAATTATTGATAAATTAGGAATGACCTTTTGTTTTAAAATAAACTAATCATTTTAATAGAAAGTATAATATAATATGCAAAATTCTATACAGATTGATTACGTAATTATTATACTGGTAAGAATATTTTAAACAAAAACTTTTGAGAGAGGATGAAATCTATAGACTTTTCTGTCTAAGATTTTTTTCTAATTACATGATTCTTCTTATATGAGGTATATTGTAAGGTAATTGGGTATTTTGTTTGCAAATTACATAAAAAGTCTAATCTTACTGCACAATGGCCTTTAATAGTGTATGCTATCGTTATCCTTACCTCAAGATTGCATGGACACACGGAAAGTTAATAATTTTATGTAGTGTAGTGAGTAGTAGTAGTAGTATGTAGTGAGATAATGAAGACTTGTTCTAAGCATTCAGTTTTTGCAGATTTTTTTGTAGGTTCAATTATTTAATTATCTGAAAAATCCTAACGTCCAAACTCTATTCTCACATGAATTACTCAAGGAGATATGAAGACTAGGGAACAATGGGCTATCGTTATCTGCCTTTCATATCAGCGTTTCCATTTACAATGGTGTACTGTGGGTATGTGTGCTTCCGTACCGTTTATTTTACACCCTGTATATACGCTTTGTGATCTCGTTGTATCGACAATTGTTAATACAAAAATAATAATGCGTTCTGTTTTCAGCATATTATTGTTTATTTATATAATTGTCTATAAGATTTTATTCAAACACTAGTTTCATTTTTCAAAAGTTTCAGTGATGTCATATAATTATTATTTGATTATACCAGACAAGTGGACTTAAATTTCTCGATAGGGAAAAAAAATATCTTGAAATTTGAGTATCTATATGTTGTAGCTATAATTCTTTGGTAATATTCATTATAGTCAACGTCGAAGTCACGAAATTACAAGAATCGTTGTCCTATTTAGAATGTATGATAAATATTATTAGGAATAAAACGTGCCTAATTAATCATTGAGCTCATACTAAGTTTGAATAATTCTTTGGTAATTAAAATTAAATTAAAATAATTTTTCATAAAAAGAATTATCATATTTTCTTGCTCGTATATAATCTTTTTGTATTATGTATATGTCGAATAAAACTGTCAGCGTTGAGGTAAACGGTGGAAACTCGTGCTAAGGATTGGTTGATGAACAATGAAAGGCCTACATTTACGAGGGGACGGGAAGTTATTTGTATTTTATCCATAGCGTGTTTGCTGCGTCTATAGTTAGTAATTACTTATTAGCATACGTAATGGTTGATGATGTCATTATAGAAGAAACTATTTTGTTATCACATTTCTTATATATTTGAAATTACTTCAAATTATTTTTAATTATGCAACACGTATGTAGAATATAGTTTTCAAAACTAATCCGAGTATATTAGACACTCAATTTCAATAAATTATAAAAGAAACTTATTTTATCTTGCAACTAATGTCCATTTATTACATGCAACATAAAGTTATAATTTTTTCCTATTTCATATTTATATTTTGGACCAGAATTGTTGACCTTTCAGGTCGAGGCAATGTTCAATTTTCTTTGAAACCCTTGGTTTTTCTTCAATTATATTTGATTTTTAATATAAAGAAGTTGTTTGTATATGTATATGACGAAAATGAATTATCGTAAGACCAAAATGTGACAGTAATTACAACGTCGTATATATTTCAATTGATGGTAAAGTGACCTTCGGATGTTTACGTAAAAGCCGTACTTAAATATGGTCGATCTTCTTGACCTGACTGCCATATGTAGCTGTTCGTAGAAATAACCTTTCATGATTTATTTATAAAGGACGAGATAATGATACATACCCAATAGATTGACATATATTTTATATCCAACCCATATTCAGTTGAAAATAACTTTGAATTGTTCTGCAAATAATAACGCAGTGACTAGTTTCTGTAATGTCTCGAAAACACGATAGCATTTAAATTCGTTCTTAGTATTTGTTAATTATAGTTAAAACGGTCTCAATAAAGATAAGTCCGAAGCATTCCAAATACGGTATAACCAGTTATAAGTGTTCGCGTTGTTATTAAAATTGTAGATGATATATGTTTTTTAGCAATCGTACGATGTAAAATCAGGTTATTGATAAATATAAAGGAGGAATGAAGAGCGAGATAAGTCAAACCATACATTTTTTCTTGTTTTGTGATATGTTTCTGTGTAATAACATAATATTTCGCTATAAACGTGTATGCAAAGCTGATTGTGGACGATCGTAAACAAGTTAAATTCTCTTTCATTATCATTATTGGTCTGAATTTTGAAATTAATCTCCTATAATATTGGATTACGATATCATAGGTATTTTATAAATAAATATCCAAAACGGAAAACATCAAATAAACTATGCGTTCAATGAGTTGAATATAAAAATAAATTCAACTTGCTTTTATAGTACGTACGTAAAACCCGACACATCAGCTTTATTGGTTTTAAGTATACAATAGGGTGTTGCTATGTGTGATTTCGTTCAATTTTTTAATATAAATAACAGATAAAACGGATTTTTACCTACTATACCTGTATATTAATTATTTATAAATTTATAAAAAGTAATCGATCCAAACAAAAAAACCTAGCGTACATTTTGTAATTTTACATAAAAAAAATACGAGTGGTAATAAAAGATTTTAAAATAATTTTCATATCTTCTATACACAGGCAGTGACTTGGATATATAGGACATTTAAATATTCTAATTATTCGTTTCAATTAACGATATATTTCTCATGTAAATCTTAATACTATCTCAAGTGTTGTTTGCACAATTATAATATAAGTAAGTTAGTCCAAGTTTAACTAAGTTCAATGACAGACGTTATGTCTGAGTCGGCCGACGATACACGATATGACTGGCAATTAATGCCTCGGGTGTTATAAAAAGGATATTATCCGTTAGCTTAAAAAAACCATTTTGTAATTTTTAAACGTCATTCTATAGCATGAGAGTTTTGTTATATATAATTTCGTATGTTTTCGACTATAATGAGATGTAAGTCGTGGAATATTACGTAACAGTATCAAAGAATATCCTCTATAGAATTTAGTGTCATGTGAAAGTTACTATATTATAATATTATGTATATTTTATTCTATAATAGACAGTGAGAGTTTTTGAATTTTAATTTATTATTATATATAAAAAAGTGATATATCCTTCCACTAAGGACTATTACAAGTATTACGGTAATGTTCAGTGTTGCTAAATTAAAGCCACTTATAATTTTCTTTGGAGTTGCGTAATATATTAAGTGTATAGAGATAATGTTAACATATTCAAATGTTTGAGTCATGCCCGGATCCCGATAATTTAGACGTATGTTACGCACCCAACCGTAGTAACAAGCGGTTCTTATCTGTGGGAGAAATAAAATTACGAGCGTTTCCTTCGTCGATTCCAGTCCAAATAAGATCGTGTAGTCTGACAAAATTATAAAAAAACTATTAGTAGTATGTGTCAAATTAAATACTGATTTTTTGATGGCGAATTATTGGTTTATATATAAATTTAAATAAAATCTTTAAAACATCATGCATAAAATAGTTTAAGGTAATTTTTATTTTACATGGTGGAAGCTTGGTTGGTTTGTGTATTTTTGTATGAATTGTTTCGATTGATTGGTTGTAATACTGTTTGTTTCACAATAAATTAAATAAAATAAAAATACTTATTTTTATAGAATAATTTCAAAAGTACACAAATATAGTAAACGATAAATTTTTCATTATTATTTTAAGAATTTTTCATTTTAAATATAGTAAGTAAAACATGCTGTTAAAAGGAGATTGATTAAAATAAAAACCTTTGAAATACAAAATATAGTTGTGTAGCAAAAACATGAGCCAAATATGAATCTAATTTTGTTGTTATAACTGTATCAAGAAAAGTATGTTATGAAGGCGTGTAAAATGTAAATATGAATTTGGTGAAAACGGTTAATTTTAATCATATAAAATAAATTTGTTTACATAAAAAATAATAAATGATGAAACGGATGTCATTAAGTGGATACAGTCATAAATTATATTACAAAATACTTTTAAACATAAATAAATCAAATTAAATGCAAGAACGGAAAAATCACAAAACTATTATTCCTCAACACTAAGTTTATAGTAGAGTATTGGAACACATTTTTTATTAAACTAAATAATTTCAATTAAAATAACTTGAAACGCTTCAATGATTTTACTCTTTTTAAAGAATTCTGAATATATATACAAAAAACCTTTTCGCATCACTTTTTATAGAACTTTCTATTTTAAAAAAATTGGGTTTACTTCCATATATTTTATTTAAACGAAAAGCTTTGTCTAAAAGTTTATTTTACTGATAGAAAAGTATTATGCTAATACTGTATTTATGCCGATACTAGAACGTTTTTGTTGCTTGGTTAGTAAACAGGGTAGATCGAATAATTTAATTAAAATATATTGGGCACTAGCAACGCATAAACGAAATATAAGCAATATTTTAATAATAAAATATATTACATCGCTTTGTTAAAACGCCGCTGTTACCCTATTTTATAAATCTGCTTCATAAATACGTTTTCTAAAAACGACCAAATTATGTGTGGACGGGTTGTTGAAGTTCGGTGTGTATGCATGAGACGTCTCATAAATACGAATCGGTTACCGGATCATATATAAGTAGATAAAGCACAACCGACACGATCGCAGGACGTGACGGAAATTTATTTTTAAGCCAACTATACACGTGCGGAGTTTTTTTGGGAAATATCGTAGCTATATTATCTAGCTTTAAACCTAGTTTCGACTACTAGGAGTACCACTATTATAACTATCAAACTATTACAGCGATTATCAAATACTTAAGCAATATACTATAGTAGAATAAACACCGCTGGGTATTGTATTTGTCAGAAAATTGTTTGTATACACAGACCCTAACAGTTGCGTAACTATAAATAATCAAACAGTGAACTGCATTTGAATTGTTTTGTAAATAGATACATTGTGTGTTGGAAAACACTGAATAGTTTTGAATCAATGATATGGTCACCATATTCTCTGGTTTTTATTAGGTTGTTTAACCTAGATTATAAAAAAAGCAAATCTACTACTTCTTTCAAATTATTTTGTTTGCGGCTGGACTAATTTCAATAAAAAAATTGTACGAAAAATTAAAATAATCCCTTCGTTCCTTCATAATAAACGTGACTCAAAGTTTTTAACAACAAAACATTACAGACAGCAGGTTCGTTTCTCAACAACAAATATGGTAATGAGCGTTGTTTCGCGTGAGTTGTTCGTGATCGGTGCACTTGACAGACAGGACGAGGGCTGGGCGCCATCGCCATGGCTTCCGAGGGTCCGCACCGGATGCTTTCGTCACGCACCGCTGCGCATCACGGGCCACGACCAGCCATACTAAACGACCAACATAAAATTCTCCCCTCTGCAAAATCATGCGCTCAACTAAAATACCATTGACCGACTTAATTGTAACCGAATCCCAGCCTAGTAGCCTTGGTACGTGGTTCCGAGCTGATGCATCTGACATACGAGAAACGTAATATACACCTGGCAACCTGGTAATGTAACCAATATTATGTTCTAACATATAGGTCAGTCCGAATAGGAAAGCTTGTGATATCTTGTTCCTCTGATTGAATGTAGAAGTTAAGTATCGTCTTGCAAAGAGGAATGAAATCGTGTTATTATCTTTTACATTAATAAAATCTATGGGTTTAGTTATTTTTACTTTATCACAGTGTTTAATTATTATCAGACTAGCAGTTAGAGGTTAGTGGAATGAATAGGTCAATATATTTTGCTGTCTAATCGCATGGAGGGAGCACATCTCGTTAATACTCAAATACAAAATAATTGAAATATTATGTTCACGTTATGTTCTAAAGCGCTTATCTTTTTGTAGGTCTTGAAAAAGTTTTGGATGGTCACGTGTAGCCGGCAAATATTTTTGTACGCCATTGTATCTTCAGGCCACTTTTTAGTGAACATAATCAAATATTCCGATGGCAACGTTACATTACTTAAATAAACAGTTCTAAATGTTGACATAACTGTTCATGTTTGCAAATTGAACTTGTTTTTGTTTCTATGATATATTGTCTTCAAATCCTTTTTTATGAAATGTTAGAGAATAATTGATCATGGTCTAGAGGTTACGTCGGATGTGTGTATATCTCATAAGGTCTTCGTACTAGTTGCTTGAGTTTCTCAATGGCTTTGACCTTCTTTGTATCTTTATTTAAATATAAAATATTAGTAAAGAAGATGGAACTTTAAATTCATTATTAAAATATCGCGTTTTAGGTTGATGAGTCGATAAATATTCATACACTGGCATTATTTAAATAATAAAAACCATTTATCTAAGTTAATTAAAAGTACAAATGATGCAAATAAAAAACGTCATCCAATAGACTTATATACCTTATTATATTATATACTTCTTGCTTTTGAAACATTTTTAATGAGATGCGTTATATGTATTGTTCATGGGAGTTGATTTATGTTATTTAACGGGTATTTTACATTCAGAAGTCAAAAGAACTATTCCAGTTACCATCGTGAGATTAAATGATTCCGTATACTCCCAGGGTTTTGCTGCATCATACACAAAGAGCTTCCAATAAAGATTCCGTTACTTGATCGTTTTTTGCAATCATTCATTATATAAACCAATTTGGTCTATCTGTCCCACGGTGCTCAAAGATATGTGGAACCATTGTGGATGGTTAATGATGCGGCAGTTATTTTGATTTGAAAAATCAAAAACATACTTTTTGTTCGCTTCTCAACAATGCCATTCTTGTTCCTCTTTTCTGTAAATAGAAATTGCTCTAAAATTTTGCTAAAAAGTGTTTAATTATCTAGAACATTTCCCATGATTTCAATAGTTTTTTTTTTTATAAACATGTTTAATATTACATATCTTAACTGGGTTTTCTTGTTAAATTGCAACGTTATGATAGATTACAGTTAGACGGCACGGTTTTTTATTTGATGTCAATGTCATTTCGTTTCTAGGTTCCAGAAAGAATTGAGCAATGTTCTCAACTTTCAAAGAGTAACAATGTAAAACAGAACGGAGAAGTAGCGAAGCCGCCTGATAAGCAGAACACGAACAACTCAAATACTCGACAAATCAAGGTAGAGGCCTTGAATATGGAAGTGGAGACGCTTCGGTGGCAATTAACACAGGTACATGTCTTAAAAGTTGGTCTTTAGTAAATAAAAACAAATATTGGTGCACCAATTCTTAAACTTGTCTGCGAATTATTGCGAATTAAAGTGTTCTAAAATGCGAATTTATTTGTGAATATGTAATGCTGAGCGAATTTTACGTTTTATCCCATTGTAATTTTTTTTATGCTGTTAAAAAACTGCAAAAATAAGGATATTTTTTTCAGACAGAGGCTAATAGGCAGATGCATATTGCTTTACTCAAGCAAATAGTAACTTTTCTAAGCAGAGTCAAAGAACATATAGAATTCCAGTCAAGTGAACCAGGTGTTAGATTGGATAATTTGTCAAGCAACGTTCTACCGAGTTCCTTAAATATTACGGACTTGCCACGTTCACGATCAGTCTTTCACGTCAGTAAAAATTTAGACTATTCGATTAGTCCATCAAAGAAAATGAGTACAAGGAAAATAAGTAAATCAATTAGTAATGTAAACGGATATAAAGATTGCAGTAGCACTTGGTAAGTGGTGATTGCACAAGCACAATTACGATATTATTTTAATTTAATAACTGTTGTTGAATTTCCTTTACAGGAACAATTCGAAGTTGTCATTATTGTCTGAGAATGAGACCAGTTTGAAGTTGACGGAGGAAATGACGCGGCTTATTACTCTTGCCAATACAGTCCTTAGCACAAAAATACCAGACTTAGCAAGTGCCTACCCAAATAATAGTCCGCCCATATTGCAATTAACAGAAGAGATTAAAAAAGTAGAAATCACTTTGCAAAGCACAACTGATTCTCTAAGTATGAATGGCTTGAATGAGACAGATGATACTGTCCTAAATACAACTAGTAAAGTCGAATCACACAATGGCATAACTAATAAATTCGGAGACATAAAAAACAGAATAAATGATTTTATTGTATCGCAGTGTCCACTTAGCTGCGGTTCGGAAAATGACTCTTCCGTTGTTTTATTTGAACAACCGGGTGTACAAAATGGACTAGTTACGACATGTGGGAAAGTAGTACAAACAGTTGACAAAAGAAATGATTACAATGCATCATCAAATTTCGTTGAGGATGAAAGTGGTTTCTCGTCTATGAGCTCATTTCAAGAGATTGGTATACCAATTATAAGCATAATTCCGCCGTCTCCGTGTAAAGAAGTTGAATATTTCGAAGGCATAGGTGACGAAACAGAAAAATGGAAGACAGACGCCATTGAATTAGACAAGCAAAGCATTAAAGTGTTTTGGGTGTGATTACAGAAGTTGTAATAAATCTTTTAAATAATAATACTAATGCATTGAAAGTTAATATAAATTAAATAACGTGCGGTTTATAAGTTATTTTAAGTAACCACTATGTACTTAATATTTTTTAAAGAGGATATCATACTTAATGTTGATACTGTTTTTATAAATAAATAAAAACAATGAATGAAATTTTTATTTCAAAACATAATAATTTAATGTACGTTTTTAAAAGTGTCCACATTAAACATCCTGTATATTAGGATATTAGAATTAACAAACTTTTCTATCGGAACATAATGACTTTGTTAAATTTTAAAAATATAACAGAAACTATAGATTTATACTTATATATTTATTTTAATAAGCATGTGTTTGGCAGAATATTTAATTGTAATTTATTTATTTATTTTCCTGTAAACCTAAAATAATTCCATAAAACCTAATAAAATTTTATTTTAAATTAGGCTGCCTTGAAACATGATAAAAATGACTGTTTATGTCATTCACCATTTTAGAATAAAAATTATATGACATGTTACATTTCGATATAAAATTATAGTAAACATTTGAAAATTTTTGATTAAAAATAGCGAAATTTTTTGTAAAATATTCAGAATTTTATCTAACTTTAAAACTATAGTTACTACTTACATTATCATAAATATTAGCGACAATGGCTGAAGCAACCGACGATAATGCGAGTGGAGATACTGTTTCAGTAGTCAAACCTGAAGTTTCCGAAGCCCCAGAAACTATTCCACCACCAAAACCAGATGTGGAACTGATAGTAGATGGTTTCGGTTTCATGCCAAAGGAAACAAAGCTGGATTCAAAATCCCTCTCTACAGATTTAAAGAAATCTTCTAAAGTATTAAAAGATATTAAATCCCCCGCAAGCGAACATAGTCCATGTGCGTCTAGCACCAATATTGATATCGTCAGAAGGTATACTTGGAGGACAAAAAATAGGATGACAGTACAGGTATTAATATTGGTAATTTTATATAAAAAATATTTAGTCGCATTGAACCGGCATAATATTTAATAAACCTGTTAAGGTTATAACCTATGGCGCCACCATCACATCAATTCAAGTACCTGATAAGAGAGGTGTTCCAGATGATGTGGTAGCAGGTTTCGATACGTTAGAAGGTAAAAATTATATTAATTAAATTATGCATAGAAGTATTTTTTATAATAAATATCAATACGGAGATTCCATTAATTAATTATTTAATATTTCTAGAATATTTCCAACCAAGAAATCCATACTTCGGTGCAACTATAGGGCGTTATGCGAACTATATACAAGACGGAACAATGGTCGTGAGACCTTCTGGCAGGATGTACATGCTCTCTACCAACAGAGGACATAATCATTATCACGGAGGATACGTTGGATTTGATAAGGTATTTACTGCAAGAACTTAATGGTGCCTGAATTGTATTCACACTCCCGAATTTATATAACACTAGAAGACCCGGCGAACTTCGTATCGCCCTATAATCAAGAAATATCTGTTATGTTTTTATTTATATTTTTGGAGTTTACCTATTAAAGCCATAAATCTCCGTTTTTGAAGTGCGACAGAATGATGGACATATAAGTTAGTTGTCAAATCTAATGTCAAAAAAGAACGTTTGTATCAACAACTACTAATAAATTAAAAATTAATTTAAAAAACATTGTCCAGCGGACAAAATTGTGAATCTAAACCATTCCCAGATCCCCTTGAACACACACAAAAAATTTCATCAAAATCGGTCCAGTCGTTTGAGAGAAGTTCAGTGACATACACACTCACAGAAGAATTATATTTATAAAGGTTTTTATTTAGTCATCTCACTTTACTTTTAAGGTTAACTGGCGATCTTATGTAACGGGCAACAAAGTCATCATGAGTCACGTCTCAGAGAGATTCCACGAAGGTTATCCTGGTACTGTGATGGCACAAGTTTCTTTTGAAGTGACTTGCGATAATACAATTAAAATTGAAATGAAATGTACAACGAGTGAACCGACAATAGTGAATTTAAGTAACACCAATTACTTTAACCTGGCTGGACATGTAAGTTTCTTCTGAAATCAAATCATACCTACCGATGTAATGTTGCTAATGTAATAACAAAAATAATATTACAGCATTCCGGCCCAGATCTAATGTATGATCATATTATTACAATCAACGCTGATAAATACACAGCTGTGGATGAAGAGGGACTTGTGACAGGTTAATTGTTAATAAGAATAATTATACGAATTATTCGTTTTCAATTCGGCAGTCAAAGAAGTTTTCTTTAAGTCTTTAAGTTGATATAATAAATTTAATTTATTTGGCTTTTAATTCTTCTAAACGACTTTAAGGTTTTTTTTTGAGAATATGCTTCTTCCGACTATGATAGCTTCTTGAAAATAGTAACACAATAAAATCTGTTCGTTGTATACGACAGTTTAAGCATAATGTTCTTTTTTATTTTCAGGGGAAAAGAACGTTGTTGGCGGAACACCATATGACTTCAGAGTACCTAGGTCATTGCGGGTGATGTTGCCGAAAATTCCAATGGGTGGCTATGATATCAATTTCTGCGTAACTCAGGGCACGGAACAAGATCTTACATTCCAAGCAAGGTATAAGAAAATATTGTTTATAAAGAAAAGAAATAATAATGCTATATTTTTTATAATTATTTTACTAAGAATTTGATAATATGATCGATATCATTCTGAAGATCCTGTCCAAGTTTAAAGTAATATATTTTTTATTATTTATAGTCCATATTTTTGTTTTCACACAATATTGTATTATTTCAGAGCCCTTCATCCGCTGACAGGGAGAGTGTTAGAAATTTACAGCAATCAACCTGGAATGCAATTCTATACAGGAAACCTTTTGCCCGATCCCGATAAAATTGTTGAAGTAAGTTTACGTCATTTCTTCTAGGTTTTAGCGAGTATACATTTATTTATTTTTTATTATGTATTCATTAACTATTTTATTTGAACAAAATAAACTGTAGGAACCGGGTGAAACTGAAGAGGAAGGCAAATCTGAATCTGAATCTGAATCTGACAGTGGGAGCGAAAGCGAGTCGAAAAGTAGTGAGGAGGAGGAGAGTGCAAGAGGTGAAGAGACGATAGAAGAGGCTAAGGAAGACGAGGTGAATGATTATAATATTGTCGTTAACAAAATATGTTTCATCATTCTTTGCTAATGATAGCTAAGACTTCTTAGTCTTGCCTGCTACAAAGCTTATGTCATGAAGAGTTTTGATTTCTTAGCATTAAAGGTATGCTTTCTGCAGTTTATGTATAACATTAGTACGTTGTTTGACTTGCAAACATTTTATTCTTATTTGAAACGTCTAAGAACTTAAAAAATTAAGACTATCATTTAAAAGTTCAAAACTAACACGCACCTATAAAAGTAATATATATAAAACCTATAAAAAGTATAATACTGAGAACCATGGATGATAGTTCTACTGTAAAACAACTCGATAGTTTTAAAGTTCTACTTCAACACTAAACTTAACGTTTAAACTATGTCATAAGGCACAATTTTTGCTAAAAATAGTATGAACCCTGAAATTCAAAAGTTCGAGCCAAACTGCAATGGTTTAAAATCCAAGTTCACTTTTCTTGAAACATCTACTAAATAGCATGGTGATACGTTTGTAACTGACGTGAATTAATAGCAAAGCAATTCGCAGATCGGTGTAATAGTAAATTTTTTGAGGTGGTAGAGCTTAGCTGTGGTCAAATGATTGCAGCTCGAACATGGGCTAGCTCGACCGGGGAAGTACCACCCTCTCACAGAAGATCGGCGTAAAGTACCCTTAGTGGCTGCGTTTCGTTCGATGAGTGAGAGAGCCGGTTGCCCTTTCCCTTTTCCCATCCTTTCCTTCCCCTTCCCTTTTTCCTCCCCTTCTCATTTTTCCTCTCCCTCTTCCCAAATCAAGGGTGGTGACACATCCGCAACATGTCTTATGTCGCGAATGTCCATGGGCGACGGTATTACCTCCATCAGGTAGGCCGTCTGCTCAGTTGCCCCCTTTAGCATAAAAAAAAAAAAAAAAAAAAATACTCTAAACTAGGAGCGAACAAAAAAATAAAAGTTATTAAGAAAAAACAAATACTTATTTTTACCATATATATGTATACCATATATACATAATATTAAGCCAATGTTCTAAATACCATTTTATTTACATCATTTGATAGTGGTTAATAATTGTCATCGTTTATACGCTTGGTTCGTGACTTCTTTATACGAAACTAATCTCATATTATATATGTATAAAATTTTATTTAATGTTTTAATTTACATTTCGGTTGATGGGCGTCAAAAAATGATTTGATATATCCATCGATCAGTTTCATTTAATTTGCGTTGTCACTTTACAGGGCAAGAGAAGTTATGGATATGTACCACTAATGGGTAAACATGGCACGTTTTACCGAAAACATGGACTATTTTGTATGATGCCGCAGAACTATCCGGACGCCGTCAATCATGTTAATATTTATTTTCTATATAGTTATTTATTTTTGTTCCTGATTAATGATATAATAATCCAAAAAGTACCACATAGTCATACTACAACTTTTCTCTTACAGAAAAACTTCCCGAATTCCGTTCTAAACCCAGGAGAAACCTACATACACAAAATACAGTACAAGTTTGGTATTTTATTAGGAAAATATGTATGAAGTGGCATAAACTTTTAAAGGTTTATAAAAATGAAAAAGCATATTTTTATTAGTATAAAAATACGTGGGTAATTGCTATTTTTTATAATTTGTGATGTAAATAAATAAATATCGTGTTATTTTTTCCCATTATTCTCCAAGAAGGCAATAGTTGAGATATCGATCTTATTGTGTTATATATTTGAGTTTTGTATGTGTTTTTGCTATTGGCTGTAATGTTTTGTGAGTATATTTTAAATTGTTTCCTAAAGCCATATTTCACCTGTCAATAGAGCATTTATAAATTTACAATACAAATTCGAACACTAAAAGGCTGTTTCTTTTTATTAGACTTATAGTTATATTATGTATAAAAAAATCTAAATGATGTACTCGTATCTATGTATTTCAAAAGGTAATCAAGATTGGTAAGAATTATATATAATATTATTAGCGAGTTACGAATATACCAACAATAACTAGATTTCAAAATGAACAAATCTGATATATTACAGAAGAAAGAAAATTTACTTTTAGTGGATTTATACTACCTACTTGCAAAATATCCTAATCCACTAGGGGGAGGGGGGGCACTTTGATACACAAAAATTAAATCTCTTTTCTGAGGACCGTAAAGCATTATATTTAAATATTTGTTTTGATGTGTGCATTGGCTGATATGTCAGCTTACATTTTGGCTACGCAAAAACCGCAAAAATTGGCGACGTATAGAGATAATGTGATTTTAAGAAAATAAAATATTTGTATCATTCTGCCCCACCAGTGGGGCACTTTGATACATGGGGTGGGGCAGTTTGATACGTATTTTAGATCCATATGAAATGCAAATTTAAACTGACTAAAAACCCAATATAAACTGTATTATTACTTAAAATTAAGAAATAAAACAATTTTATTGATTGAGACTAAGTTTATTATTCGATCGGGTGTAAAATTGTACTGTCTCATTATGTGTTCATAATTATCATGAAAGTGAGCTACAGCAGCTTTATTAAAAGCAAAGCTTCTTGCTGCGCTTGTGTTTTCTGGTTTTCGTAGACTCAATTCTGGGTTTCTCTTCCTGAAGCCAGCTGCCCAATCTTTTCCAGCGCATTTGTTTTTTTCCAGGGTTTTGGATAATTACACCCTGAGGATTCTGTGAACTCGTATGCCAAAGTCAAAAGCTGTCTCAATGTAATGCCGTAGTGCATTTTACTGCAATTCAATAAATATTGAGTCAATGCCTTTTCTTGTTCGATTGAAAAAACTTGTGCAACGGTATACTTGGAACCATAGATGTTTGATGAAGTAGCTGTAGCAGTGTGTGATGATAAAGCTGCAGTAGTAGTGTGTGCTGAAGGTGACGCTTTTTTTGCCATCTCCATAGATGGTGCTATTTGTGGTGAAGATGGACCTGCTTGTGATAAAGAAGATTCTTCTTGTGATAAAGAAGATTCTGCTTGTAATGAAGAGGATGCTTCATTTGTAGATAATATTCTGGTAGCTTCAAATGATTTTCTGGCTTTTTCTATGCGATGTTGTAGGGTCGCAGTTTTGATGCTATATTTGTCTGCTGCTTTGCGTATAGATAAATTCTTTGACAATACTTCACGTATTGCGTCTTCAATGTTTTCTTCATTAATTTTTTTTCTATCAGTTTTGGGTTTGTACGTGCGCACCATTTTCTGAAAAAAAGAAAATAAACTACACTTTAATACACTAGAGGGGCAGATTGATACGTATCATTGTACCCCGCACATTACCGTATCAAAGTGCCCCAACGGACTTTTTCCACAAACAATTAATTTTATCTAATATATAATAATAATGCAATCAAAAACATTTTAAAATACAATAATAACTATATTTACTTACCTGTAGTAACAAATTATAACAAAAACAACTAAAAGAATCCTCCTGAGACACAATTACATTTCATGTTTTTTTTTTGTAGGCAGCGGCGTACGCCACTTTTAACACGTTAGTGACCGTTGAGGTCCAATGGCAAACTGGTGGCGAACGGTGTCACAACTGTTATTCTTGTGAATACCCTTGAGCATTCTAGTGATTTGCCGGACTGTGTAGCGTTTATCGGTTTTGAGATATAGATACTGTACCAATGTGCCCCGTGAATCAATGTGCCCCCCCTCCCCCTACTATTTGAGTAACATATTCATTTAGTGTGATTCAAGTTACTTTTCATGTTTTATCATTGAATAAATGAAAGTAACGGCCAAATTTTTTCTCTAGAATTTTACTTTTAAATTTTAATAATGTACAATAGTTGTACAATGTTTTCTTCTTATTTTTATAATGCATATATTTTTTTCTTTTAATTTTGTTTATACGAATTATTTTTATATATATCTTCTTTTTACGTTCTCAATGCAATATAATTTGAATATTCGTCAATAGTATCAGGATCAAAATTACATTTTTGTTACATTTACTTTAGAAACTTGTTTATTTTTATATAGATTGAAAAGATAGTCTCGCCTCTGTTTCATTATAAGCCAAGGTCTATCAATTCACATGCCTCTTGTTTATTTTTTATCCTAATGTTTGTTTTCTAAGAACGGCAAACTATTTTTTTATATATGCAAAACAACTTTATAGATGGACACTAATGTGACAATAAAAATAAAACTTGAAGAAATGTTTAAAAGTCTAACAATATTGGTTACAAACCAGATCCCATAAAAGTTTTTTTCACTTTTGTTTCAACATGTAAATATAAAGAACACAGATTTATATTCTATTTTTTTTATTATAGACATGGTCTAAAGGTTAAATAGACGTGAATTTTATATTACACTCCAAATAAAAACAAAATGCTGACAGATATATGCTTAATTTAAACTATTCCAAAAGGTCATCTTACAGGTCTCTGTTAGTAAATTTCAATGAATTTTAATTATTAATTATCATTGTGTAATTCTAAATATAGTTAGTCTCTAAAACACTACGAGTATATTACACAAATTAAAAAACCTTAGTAAAAAAAATTACAAATATTTGATTACTTATTCGTAATAATAATGCTATTTTCAATGACAAAGTTAAGTGTAACAAAAGAAGAATTTAATTATATACTATAAAATTACATTGCAATGAAAATTTTTCTACAAAGGTCTAGGTGTGTCGTTGTGATGTGTAAAAGTTCTTGATTCTGTGAACTCTATTGTTTGTATGATAACTTTTCATGCAGAATTTTAAACTGTCTCTCAAAATGAATTGAAATTGAAAAACTAACTGCGACAGAAAAAGTTTCTGTGTTTGATATTTAGGAAGGGGTAGACTATACAACACGTTTATGAAAAATTATCAATTCTATGTTGTGTTTATACTATATGTACTTGCTATAATGATTTCTGTATAAAAGATAAATTTAAGCTGTCAGGGACTTTCATTTAGGAGTGTTTAAGGGGAACAAAATCACGATAAATTACTGTTGTCTAACTCCTACGATTAAAGCATCGTTCGCCAAGTAAGATATTAGAAAGATTTTTAAACCCTCTTTGTAGCATATACTGTGTTGTTTAATAAAAGTATAGTATAGTTTATAACTTTTTAAAGTGCGAAACATCTATAAATCTAAACATATTTTCAGTTATCAAAATTCAAACGAAAGAATTTTTTGTTATACCTTTTTAATTGAATTATGTCATGATGTCTTTTAAATAACTGGTCAATCAACATTCAATCAATTAATATGTTAATTACGAGTATTAAAATTAAAGAATATGCTTTAAAGTAAATATAAATATTTTTAGTATATTCTACGAGTTGTAAGTAAAAACCGTCAAACTCTCAGTTTTAAAGTAGACGTAGAAATCTCGTATTAAGGGTATAGAAATTTTACAAAACGACAGCCGCTTGTCTTGTTGTGCCTCCATCGCTACGGAACTCTCGGTATACACGGCAATGAATAAATAAAACAAAGCAGTTTCTGAACAATTTTCGTAAAGCATTTTTCAGAAACTAATTTACATTTTATTTTTATTTCTATTAGACGAGTTTGTAAACGTTGACAATGTGACGAAGGACATCCATTCATAAAAATATCTATTATATAAGAAAACAATTTTAGATCATGATATAACTTTGATCTGTCTCTGTATTTAATAGCTTTTTTTTATTGTCCGAGTTCCAAAATTATACATTTGCATGAAGAGATATTGTCTGAACTTCTGTAAATGGCATTGTGTGACAATATTGTAGTATTTACAATTGTTATAATTACAAATAACTTCATTGAAGACCACACTCGAGCACCTAACAAAAGCATCCAACAACAGCTGGACCTCTTGAATCGTTCAGAATGAAGATTTTACTTTCGATGTTACCAGTATACCAACTTTTATACAATCCTTTTCCACTATCTATCCTATTTTTTTATTATAAAAATATAAATCGTTTACTGTCAAAATATATTTATCAAATTTAATAATTTCTAAACAGAATTAATGGGCTGAGTATTTTTAAGCTAAGAGTAAATTTTTTTAAAGAATATATTTCGGTTGTTTCAAAACAATCTTATATAGATTCCAACAATCGTTTTCTTATTGACAATTCTAAAGTTATATGATACCCAAACTAAGATACAAAATATGTTTTTTCAAAAGAGATTTAATTTTTGCACTTTTGAAAGCGAGTTTTTCATACTTATAAAAATCCTAATGACCTCTTCTTCTGTAAATATTAATGACACTTCATAAAAATAAATAAAAGGTGAAAGTTTTTGTTGACAAACTATGCACTCATCATTAATAGATACACGTATCTAGGCAGTAAAAATTTTCCACCAATGTTCATTTTATTACGTCAAAATGAATACAAACGCTTTCAATAGTTTTTGAATTTTAGAATGTAGCATAAATAAAACAGTTGCGGATGCATTCAGAAATAAATATGTTGATATATTAAGCAGGAATATAAAATAGAAGTTATAAATTTAATATATTTTCTATGGTAAAAATAAAACTGATGTTCTGTCTTTTGTTAGACATTTTTATTTTATCACTAATAAAAATATATATTATTGGAACGGTTGTACAATTTTATTCTATTTTAAAGTCTTTGTAACAAAAAAGTGGATATTTTTTTACTAGTATTTTTACCAAACCACCAAAATTATTGGCCACCCATAACAGAAAATATAAATTACTCGTTTTTTAAAATATAAATTATGGTACTGGTGTGTTACATGCAGAGAGTAGAGGTAATTCTGGAAATAATAGGGTAAATTATAAGTTATTAATTTGTTATTGCAAGCTCACTTCTGTTATTAAGTCGCTTCAAGAAAATAATAAAAGTTACAGATCATCTTTCCATCCAGCTACCTTATTGGACATCGAAAGAATATGTCTTAATAAATCCTATACGGCTACACTTCATTTACATTTAAAACATTCCTGAGTTTTCAGAAGTTTAATAGTCTACGAAATAGTAAAGAAAAATCATTAAAAATCAACTGAAGAGCAGTCACAGTTCTTTAAAAAGAGGGGATAAAACCCCTCAAAAAGAAGGAAAATTTTGTGAAAATTCTATCTGTCAAGGTTTGGAGTTACTGAATTCTTTAATAATTCTTAGTGTTGCTATAATGAAATGACTATTTGGGTATTATTCCTACATGGGTATATATTCAAGATTTGGGCTTAATTAGTTTATTTTTAATATATGTATTAATCCGTAAGATTTATATTTTGTTAAAAACGCTTACTCGAGATATAATATAGAAAATTATTATATTAGCTTTTAAAAGTCTTTAAATTCAGGCTTAGAATACATACATCTGAAAATTGATGAAAACCTTTGTTCGAAAAATAGTTGTTCCGTTATTGAAGGAGAGCTCCCCTTGATTAAAGAAACCTTATTTAAACATGTTCGGCTTTGACTACATGGAGTTGAAGCTTATAAGAAACAATATTGGTTATTGTAAAGTCATAAAGGGATATAAAATTTAATCTAAAAGATATTGATTTACTTCATAGCTTTAACATAATATCCTTTTATTACGCCAACGATTTTATAGATACATCGAAAAAGAATTTTTATATACAATATTCTATATCATTATCATCGGGATTGAAGAACGCAAAGTTATTCATTAGTAATGGTAGATAAAGTATTCAAAATATATATTTCATTCTACGTAGGTGTTAGGGGGGGAATAAACAAAATAATTGTTATATTACATGCCGGTTGAAACTGAGCATCAACTGTATTAAAATCACAGTTAAATCTAAGCTAATACTGAAGAGAATTTGCCAGAATGAGTAAGATATATTCTCAATGTTACACTGCCAAATAATCCGTGCTATTGGCGACGTCACATATGCCTGGAGTGCTTGTTACCCCTATTTCGTAGTCTGCTGTAACGTGACATGCGATAGATGAGAAATAATAATTTTCAAGGCGGTTTTATTAAAGTTATATAACAAATTCTTAGATAATTAATAAAAAAAATCTTAATCCTCACGTCATTGGTTACATCAGGAGTGGATTCGATTTAATTTTAAGTTTATCAATCTATTTATCATTGTAAGTGTAATAAACAAAAGTAGATTTTTTTAATGAAAATCTATTTAATTGGTGTCTTTTATGGATAAATAGTTCATAAAATTTGAAAATGTATTTTGGAATGATTCTTCATACTTCATTTATTTTACTGAAACTTTTAAAATGTTAGTACTCCGCCAATCATGTACTGTCAGTCAGGATGTATGAATAATTTCAATTCAATAAGCTTATAACTGATTGTATATTTTTTTGTAAAATTTAATCCGAAAATACGCTAAGATAAAAAAGCTTGAATACTACAAGCATTTTAATTTTATTTACATTGAAGTTAAAATTTTGTTACTTAACTTATTTTTTAACAAGATTATTAATATTTGAAATACATAGTTATATTTATATCAAAAATCTTGTAATTATGTTACATAACATTCCTCTGCGAAGCGTTCATTAAGATAAGATTCATTAAATTTAAATAAATCATTTAAATATATTACTATACATATTCATTCAAATGCTCAGTGATTTGTTACAGATATCGGTGTTCCGGATCAAATTGAAATAAAAATGTTTTGAAATAGTCTCTTGATAGCAAAAGGTGACGAACTCTACAAGTTTCTAATAAGCCCAGAAGATATTATCCGTTTCTACGTCACGGTCTAAGAATATATCTCAATTTTTTTTCAAAAATAATGATTTAATCAAATAATTGAAATGTTATTCCACGAAATACCATATTTTTTTGACAGAATAATCAGCAAGAAATAAATTAAAAATGAAGCAGTTGAGAACCAATGACGGTTTGGAATGTTGCTACCAGAGGGATCCATACAAAAAACTTTTTAACTGTCTCTTTATAACCAAAATGACTTGGAACTTATAATTCAATAAGTCCTAATCCGATATAAATTATAAGAAATGTGTATGCTTGTTATTGTAATAATATACATAATATATAGTATTATAATATAACCAAAAATTTCCGAACTGAGATATCTGTTATGTTTCTAGAAAATGTATCGTGGTTAATATGTAGAAACCGAACAATTTATATTCAAAATTAATATAAATAATTACTTAATTTTGGCAACCATCACTAATTTTGACGCCGGTATCAAACGCGTGGTCGACTGTATGAAATTATTTCTCCGGTTTGAATTAGTCAAAAGTTCAAGCACTACTCGTAGTACAATACGATTAAAGAATATGGGAAATGATGCTATCTTATATAATAAAAAAATGTTATACAAATTGTATTAGAAAAAAATATATAATTTTTATATGTCCTAAAGGTGTCCTGAATGTGTCCTTAACGTGTATATCAGAAAAAATATTAAACATTTTGTTAATATTAAATTTGAATGTATAACGATTCTTAGTTTGCCGTGCAAAGGAATTGGGTGCGTTGAGTGGGTAAATAAGTTTTATCACACTTTGAATCATACGCAGCTCTTATTGCTAAAATGGGTTTTAATTATGCGACACTAGTTTCAATTTCCCGAATACGTACGATGTTATAAGATGTTTTAGAATTAAGTTGTTCTTGTGATAAGCGCAAGCGCGGGTCATGGAACTCTGAGAGTTGAGGCTCAGTCGGCGAGTGAAAGAGATGCAAACATTTCTTACAGCCTACCTAGTTTACTTTGGCATGCAAGATTATGCACGATCGAGACGCTAATAATACAATGAACAAGGGATATACATATAATGAAATCTAGTTCACAGAAAACAATGCCAATTTATTCATACCCAGATAAGAGTACATATAACGACATGTTATATAATAATTAGTGTACCATAATTTGATAAATTATATGCACCACTTATGTGATCAAATTTATTGATTAATGACATCAAGAAAAAAAATGTCATGTAGATTTTTTTTAAACAAAGCGCATGTGTGATTCGCGTAGGCCGATGCAAGTAACCGTATGCCTGCACTTCTAAAGTTGGGACGAAAAGTTGTAGCGAGCGAGCGTCGCATCTCCCAGCATTCGCGGTCCGACGCTAGCGAGGCACGGTTGGTGCCTCCGCGCTCGCCGCTGGTCGATCTTAACTTTACAGCATACATTTTTACAATTAACACCATGAGGGTCCCGAAGACCCTGCTGCTGCTGTTCGCTGTAGTCATCGCAAAGGTAAGTGGATAGCTATATTGCGAATGCTTGTATACTCCATAGCCGGCTTCTTGAAAAGTTATGAAAAGTTTTAGAAGTCAGATGTTATAATTTTTTTTTTAACTTTGTTGCCCTAAAAATAAACACAACCCAAGGACCTAAAGCCGGTTTCCGCAAACTGATCACTGAACATTCTGCTAAGTTTAAATAGAGTTCTTTTACATCATAGAAGTTATTTAAATCCAAGGTTCTTTTCTTTGATATGTTATAAATTGGAATTTTTTGTTATAAAATTATATTAATGTCAGGTCATTGAAACTATCCAAATAATTTTCGTAAGAACATTATTATATTTCATCGCTTATTAGTTTTTTTTTTTGCAAAACAATACAAACGTTTCGGTTGTCGTTATTTAATAATAGCACTTATATGTCTGGCTGAATATATAATATGTTTATGGTTTATGGTTTCTTGTTTCATTTTGTTTCTATAAAAGACTAAAAGGTGTGATATTTTAAGATGTATTTATTAGAAATCTATACGGAGCCATAAATACCTATATTTGAAGTTTGTTAAATAGAATTTTAGTATTTAAAATATTATATAAAAAGTTTGATTTCAATGTACAGCTTCGAACATTTCACTGCTCTTCTGAAAACCGAAGTATATTAATAATATTATTTTATCAATTTTATACCAATAGATTTTAAACCCAATTAACTGGTAAGGATATATCGGTTGCGATGTTTAAAATAAAATGTTATCTGGTGCTCGTGTCACGAAGTCAAATCGATTCCTCATTACGATTTAAGAAATTACTGACAGACATATATCGGTGTACAATTATTACTTAATTTGTGTTAAATTATAAAAGAAAACAATTTGAGCATTAAAGTACTCATATAGGTATAATAATTATATATTTATTATTATCTATAAGATTCCATAGAATATAAGATGTTTAAATATTTTTGGAGACAGCGCCGACCACGTTCAACTCGATTTTCTCGAGGACAACCATCTTAAAAGCTTTTAATGTTTTTTCTTTCACATGCATTAAACACTTTCAGTACGGGAGTAAATTAAGTAAACACCGATGACGATGTATCGTGTGTATGAAAATTTACAGTCAAACAGAGGCTGTTGCTTTTGTATTAAAGGTTGCGATTTGTCCTATGAATATTATCCACTAGCCATGGAAACGTATTTTACCTCGAACTCATAAAGTGGGTTGTTCTACGAATCTTTACCTTTAAATCTCTTTCATTTTATTCCGTTTAAGAGCTCGATAATTGTAATATCTTTATGAGTAACTTAAATCTATTTTTACCATGAAATAATTGAAAAAGCTCGTTGTCAGTGTGTCAAAGTTCTTTGATAGAATTGCTGTCAAGATTCACATTAAAGGTTGGACGAATCCATGAATATTTCAATGTAATTACAAAATATATTATATATCAGAGGCATGTTCACCGGAACTCAATATGATAAATCGATGATGAGTTTCAAACTGGCTACTAATTAGGAGACTGGCCTTGGATGTGTATATGTAAAAACTTAGTTAAATGTAAGAATAGTAAGATATTTAACAGTCAATCTTTATTCATTTATCTGAAAAGGACATTCGCAATTGGAATGTATATATTGTAGGGTTTTTAAGTATTTTAAAACATACCTGCAACATTTATAAATCGATTTTTCAGACAGAATTTATACCAAAGTCTGTTAACATTGATTGAAGGATGACATGATACACTTTATACAATTTTAAATCAGAATTCTTTCACATACTCAATGTAGTTATTTTATGGTGTAGATTATGAATGTATCGTAATTTTTTTCATGCAACCACTACCAGCTTGGATTATTTTATTTTAAGCAACACACTATATTATTTATATTACTTAGTGTATAATATATTTATTTACCCAAAAATTTCCTTATGATGAGTTGCTTCCTAAGAAAACCGCAAGTAAAATAATAATATTTTTTTATCAAACGACATTTACATTATTTATATTTTTTTAATTTTCAATTTAAATAGCTCGCCTATGGATTAAGTTCCGTATTTAACAAAGAAAAAAATAATAATTTTAAAACTGATTGTATTTATGAACTTTTACGGAATTTCTATTGTAAATGAAAACCAGATTGGAGATATCCTTCCGTAAATAATAAAGACACACATGATATATACATTCAAATATTCCTTCAGATTTTATTTCATAAGTTTATCGTAATTTTATTAAATGATATGTAGGTCAAAAATATTTAATTGGCTCCGGACCTGACAAAACCGTTAACGATAATGTTAATATAACTTGTTGACATTTATTTCTTATTGTTTAAGGCCGATAAAGATATCCTTTGGATGTTATTTGTATATATAAGTTATTTTATGAAACTGAAAAGAAATAATGTTTTTGAAGGCTATTTAAATGACGACATTTTGCATATTAGTTCCTGCGAATAGATATTCATAAGACATTTCAACTTCCGTAGACAGACAATACAATAATGCAAGACTGTTAGCTTCGAGTGGCAATATATATGTTCCTAACTCAATATTAAATAGTTCCAAGAAATCCGATCAAAATAAACCAACCACATGAAATGATATACATACTATTATTATATTATATTTTCCTTATTATTTTCTTCTAATGATAATAACATATTGCATAATTCTTAAAAATTTTACAAGTAATTTTACGTGACGCAGATTTGTGATGACAAAGATATTGTTATCATGAGAAAGTGGGAGGTTAATTTGATAAACGTAATCACTTTCAGTTAGTCGTTATCTTTCTAACCTGGACGCAATTGATTATTATAAATTGGGGCATGTTTACGAGATTATCTCCGTTCAGCTCATTACAACCGTTTGATTCTTTGTAATAATAATTAATATAATATAACTGAAAATATCTAAGCTCTTTACGTTGAGTTAATTCAAGTGGAAATATCAAAATATTAATTAATAATATTTCTGTGAAATAACAAAAAATATATACAATTTCTTAAAGCTTCCATTATGTTATTGAAAATTTAAAGTTAATTTGATATATTTGTTAGCATTTTAAGTAGATGTACTTGTAGAGCTCAAGAATCAATTAAAATATTAAAAATATAGATAACATCTTATTTGAAGTTCATTTATAAAATACGAATAAACCGAGAAATCGCTCCTATTCCAGCTTTTATCTTTTCACTAAGGTTGAAATGTTAACCAACATTTTAAATTTATAAGTTTCATTCATGCCTATTAATAACTTGAAATTGGTTATTAGTTGTAGGTATAATGATTCTATTTATTGAATATTCTTTTAGGAGAACTTTAGTTTAACAGGGAAACATGAAGTCAGAAACAACGAAGATGTTTTTAAATTGCAAAATTATAACAATATAAAGATAATGAGTTGAACTCTTTTTATAATTTGAACCCTACACTAGATTGCCGTAGGTTATCAAAACACTTATCGCCGGCCGCAATATACCATTCTAATTTTAATGTTCGATAATTATAAGAACATATTTTTCTCATTTTAGTCAAAAGTTATCGTCCAGTTTATCTTGAGTGACCCATACCGAATTGCACAATGGAGTTGATATCAGGAATTCGCTTAAAATATGAGCAATCTCTCATCAATTATATACTTGATTGTTATTAACCTACATTTTAAGATAGAGATTACATAAAACTTACCATTCGTTATATGCAGTTGTTGGAATAAAATGTCAGGGAAATAGTAATCAGAGTCGGTATGGCCGCTGAGGTTTCATTCTGAATGAGGGTATTTTTAGATTCGTATTATTCAAGTCAAAATCATAGGCATGTAGGTTTTTGTGGGTGTCGATTTAATGTTTTGCACTATGTTTGAATTGGCTTTTAATAACAATACATCCTTTTCCAAGCTTTATAATGTATTGTCTTCTAAAACGTACTTATTGTTTATTTAGTTGTTAATAAGACGTAGAGTTCATATATTTATTTAATAAAATTTAACATTTCTGAGTACAGTCCAGTACAGTACAGTCTCAACTATACTAATCTCGATACAAAAAATAAACTACAAGATTTTTTTAAATATTTTCTTGTAATTGATAAGTATTTAAAATTATAAATTAAAAAGTGCGTACTGTGTATAGAACAAAGATAAGTTGTGATAGCTTGGTTGCCCTATTTTGATATCTGACTTAGCGTGGCGGATGTTGTAGGTGCATTACTTGAGCTACCGAGTTAATTTTGATTTATTATATTTTAAACATTATTATAAATAAATATAAATATTTTATTCTAAAAAATAATTCATTTAAATTTAAAATATATTAAAAATAATAATTAGTATAAAGGGGTATTGTAGCTTCACAACGTACTTTTATATTAATTAATGCTAGATACCAGCAGCTTTGTATATCAGAGCGATTAGTTATTTATTATTTGAATTAAACAATATTTATTTAAAAAATATTGAGAACAATGATTATATGAACTACTATTTAAATTAGGCATGGTACAATATATACTTTTGCTTGGTAGAGATTTCAAATCGTAATACTCTAAAATAGGCTGAATTTAGACGGAGGGTTTTTTTCGTAACGTATTTATTTTCAATTCCTAAATGCACAGCAATGACGCAATTGAAAATTTGTTTACAGTATTTTATCACGCGTTCTCAGTTGCTATGTATATAAAAAAAGGTTTGTATTTTTAGGGTTCCAAAGAACATTTATGATTGGATATAGCTACAAACGAGCTGTTATAAATAATATCCACGGATACATTATTCGGGAATTGTGGATATTGCGCTTCCGGGCTTGTTTTTCTAGGAGCAAGCTATAGTTGGCTGTAGACAGAATCCAATATTATAGGAATTAGATAAAATCTATTAAGGAAAATAATTTTACATCCTTAACATGGAAAGAAACGTGACTTACTTAAGGTTTGCAATTAAATGAATTCCAGATAATATTGACAAACTTTACATTTTTCATTTTTTCCTTTTGATGGTTCTAGTATTATCTGTCTAGTATAGGGGATTATGACCATTGCCTGGGATGGTACGATTCGTAGTATCCGAAATCGTGTTTCATGTAGATGATTAATGAGTGAATATCAAATTAAAAATAATCCAGTAAAATTAAAATATATATTTCATAAAACACGGAACCATTGATACAAAATGTATTGATGCTTGCCATATTTTTTTTCAATCTCGTCCTTGGCATCGCGACGTCTATCAACAGGGCGTGTAAACAGCGATCAAAGTTTAAATAAGCCGTTTAAAATTGCCAAAAATTGATAACCACGTGTATTATATATGTACATATGTATGATAATCTGTATGTAAATAAGTGTTTTTATAGTTGGAAAACGTGACGTTAATTTTATCACGGCCTGTTAGTATTTGCGTCTGTATTTATTTGTACAGATTACAGATCTCCATTTTACGATAACCAGTAGAATTGTAAGTAAAATTGTGAAAATGATCCATTCATTCGGAATAAAAAACATTTCATCATTACACTGAGAGTATATTGGTTGTTTTCTTTCTAGATTTTAACTTACCATCATCTGTTATAGCCGGTTTTGTTATATTTTAATAATATAAAAGATCTTTAAATTATAATTTGATCAGTGAATTTAAGAAAGAGATAACGTTACAAAAATACCTTAGAATTTTGCATTGATATATTTAATTTGCATTCCCATTGTCCCACACATTTACCGACATCATAAGGCTTCTTGGAATCATCAAATATAAACAGTTGAGGTCAGAACCGGTTTTGGTCATAATATGAGAGAAACCTCTCACATTGAGAAGCGCGTATTATGGCGAAGACTATACAGTCTTATGAAGACTTTGTAGATTATGTCCTGTTAGTTATGTGTGTGAAATTCTGAAAATTTAATACTAGGAATTTTATTCAATCGGATACTAAAATACTACGTCATTCTTAAAGAACATATTATTTAATACATATTTTTTAAAGACGAGCAATATATATTTTAAAGAACGAAATATTAAAGAGGGACAAAACATAAAAAGTATTCCGTATCTAGAAACTAACCTGCGTTGTTACGGGTATCATGCGTTCTATAGAGACCAAAGACGGGATTAAGACATGAGAAGCGGTAAAAGCGAGCCATGAAACTTTCAGAGAACTTCTTTTAACTTATAATTTTCGTAAAGTTGAATTCCCTATGTTGGAAGCCGTGATGTTTGTTTTTATTGTTTAATTGTAGCTAGCTAACAAATTTTGTGGACTAATATGTTCTCTGTTTTAAACCTAAGAAATTTCTGACACGACGAGTGTTTCTCGACAACTGATAATAATGTTAACTTACAATAAATACGTATGTTTCTACTATAAACTGCGATTCTGTTTCGCCTTATGTGGTAATATGAGTGGAAAGTTTCGACTTACATGAATATAGCTTACAGTGATAAAATAAAAAGTATTAGGTAGCATATGAGATAATTACAGAATTTAATAATTACATAATGTATATTTAAATTTGAATTATAATAATTTATTTTAATAATTCTCTTCTATGTAGAAATAAATAGTTTTAATGTTTTGTATGCGTACAGAAAGCGACTATAACAAGTCTTCATTATGTGTACATGTCTTTTTGAATGAGAGACATTACAACGAATTGTTTTTAGGTTGACGATGTAAACTCGCTCTAAACAAACTGATTCATTTTAATGAAAACGTCAAAACATGTCGCGTTCGACCATTGATTGAAGGCCTTTCGCAGTCTCCATATTGCGTGGGCCAGAAAATGATTCATCACGAAATATAGCAACAGAAACAGACTTACAACAAATTTACATAGGTTATTTAAAACACACATATACGCATATTATAGTAAGAGCAATACTCAAAGTATGTAGGTTATTGGAAGAGAAATATATATAATTTTTGCTATGGTACTCGTATTGATTGTGATTTATCACACATTTTTAAAGCCATAAAATGAATAATGCCTAAATAAAAGTGGACCTCTCTCAACTCAGAGGCGACCAATCGACAAATTTACTCGACGCAATCATTGAAGTAATTTATGTTTGTTAACAATCATCCTAATCAATTATGACAGCCCTGAACTCATTTTTAAACAGTTCAAATTTGATTTAAGAGCAATATAAAGGCAATGCGCTTTAAAATTAGTTATTTCGTAATTCTTAACAATCATTTGGCTTGTTGAAGGTTTATACTGTATTTTATTTAATCAATGTGTATTGTTTTACGATACTAACTGAGAAAGAAATAGTTTTAATATTCTATAAGATTTTAATTGTTTTACGGCACTATAAATATTTAATTTTTGTAAAAGTACTTACCGTATTACTAATCTGTTTTTGTTGAATTTTGAGCGATTTTTTACAATTACAATTAAACGTAAATATAATTTTAATCACAATGCGTTATATTAAAATTAGTTTGTTCTAAAATAAAGTTAAAAAGATATTATAAGGTTAGTAGCTTTTTAATAAATCTGAGAGAAAGGAATTATAACTACATTTATTTCGAAAAATTCTCACATTATAAGTCGAAACTAGCAGTCGAGAGCAAAACTTAACGTTGATTGCGATACTTTGATCACAGGGCTTACTTGAAAAATATGAGTGTAATTTGGTATGCGGTGAAGTGTCGGGAAGGCGTCATAGTCGCTCGAGACAAAACCCGGATCGGGGACTAATTGAGCGAAGAATGGGTGCCACCCTCTTAGTATTCTGTTCGAGGCAGCCGGGAAAGCTGGCGTTTGGGACATCAATCTCAATATGGAGGATGACGGCGCGGCGGAAGGCGTGCACGCGGACAAGAAACCGCTCTTAGCTTGACCGCCACTGGTAGCACCGGATATTTTGATTGATCTTTCACACCCGATATCAGAAACGTTATGAAAATTTTCATTGTTAACATACGACAGTGTTATCGCTTTAAAATAATTATGTGGTTACGATTTTTCTAGCAATCATAGGTCACATCGGACTTGCAAATTCGCGAACTGATCCAAGGATATCCTTTGAATAACAATCGTAAAGCTTGGGATATAATAGACGACAAGGGCATGCCATTAATATATGAATATATGTATGACGGGAATAGTTCTCACATTTTTCGTTTTTTTTTTTTATTATAAAATATTTATTTCATGCCTACGGACTAAAATAACGTATTGATAGCACTCGATGTGTATTTTTAACTTATATTAATATTGACTCTGATACGCGTATACCCTTGGAAAATAGTTTCGTATATAAAATAGTAGCTAAGAATGGAAATGAATTTAGAACTGCTATACAAACAACAAAATTAAATTCATATACCATATTCGATATTATAAGATAATAACCTGAATTTAAAAAAATCAGAATCGTTACGGATCAGAGAAAATATTATCTTCCATACATAAATGGTCAAATTTTGGTTATATGAATATAATTTGTATAATTTATAAATTAACGTACGCACGTATTATGTTTTGTAATTAAAAATATTATATTTATAAGTGGATACTCGAATATCTCGATAATCGGTGTCCCGAAAATTGGGTTCTCGGTGAGCGTTTAATAAAAAAGTAAAATAAAATTACTTATTATTAAAATTGCTTCCCTTTAAAGAATACATTACAGGCTACGGGATTATATTTTATAAAGATGAAAATGTAAAAATTAAAAAGCTTTATAAAGTTTAACTACGTAAAGGAAATTGCATTCAGATGAAATGATATATTAAAATAGTTGATCCGTTTGGATAAAGAAAACAACTCCTATTCTAATAATAAATGATATCTATGAACTTTTACAAAAAGTTCACTTTGCTAAATAATATACAGAGATACTTGTTTTTGATAGTATCGAAATAGGCATATAAATGAAAAATTAAAAACTTTCTGTATTTGTATTGACAAGTTGTTTATTTTGTTATTTAAAAATAAGTTTTCAATTCTAATATTATTATTTTTAATAGGAAAAAAATACGTAAACATGACATTCAATTATAATAATATAGCTTGAATTTATATGCACACACTTAGATTTGACCATCACTTCAAATAAGTAACATTAAAAGGAAATTAATCCAAATAATACATAATTTAATATAATTGAAAAATTTTATACTTAATCGACGGAACAAACTTCGCAACTCCGGCGTTGAACGATCAGCCGATTAAAGGCTCGTAAACCTGAACACATGTTTTTAAATCATAACAAATCTCTTAAAGCTTTTACTCCAATTACGTAGCTTAATTTTTCTTTCATTAAAAAATTCCAGCAGATGAAAAGTGGCTATATAATATCAATTTAAACTAGACTATAATGTTCGATGTAATTATATTTAATTTTATATTTTGTGTTATTTATTAAAGGAAGTAAAATTCACTCCGGTGAATCGGTAACAAAGGTTTCAATACATTAAGACGTCCTTCAAAGACAAAAAAATGATCTCGAACATTCAAAAAGGGATTACGAGAGACATTAACAATGAGTTTCAAAGCTGTAGGTACCTATTTACTTTTCGTCGGGCTCATGAAGTGGCAGACTCTCCTCACTTACATACATTTCATGAGCTATTACACACCGCCCTATCGTGCAGACAAGATCTGATATTTACATGGAGCTGTATTATATAGCTATATTAAAATAATCACCTTTTAACCATAATACCTGAAGTGATTACATGGTTGTATGACAAAAATATATGCTTATTTAATTATATCGAGTTATTATTTTGCGTTGTATGAATTTAGGGAATAAAATTACTAACACTATATTGTGATCAGAAAGAGATCTGAAAATATTATACAAATAAAGTGAATAATATTAAGAAATATAGAAGGTATTATCAGCTCCAATAGATTACTTCATCCTCCAAACTCTCGAGATTTAACCGTGAATTTGTGAAATTATTCGACTGCTTTTGGTAAATTACCTTACAAATGTGATACTTGGCATGTTATATTTAATACTTTCAATCGTGTATCAATTGTGTTCATATTATGCAATCACTAATTAATTTATATCTTTGAATATAAGATTTGTATGTACTCGTGAAATAGTGTGGTGGAAAACTGGTGAAATAGTTACTACCAAACTATAAAAATATCTATTAATGTACTAATTATACATATTTCTTATACTTTGCATTTGAGAATTGTGGATAGAGCTCTGTTTTGAATGGCAAGAACTATGTAGGACTTGGTTCTACGATAAGCTTCAATACTTCAGCGTGATTAGGAATTCATTGAAACCCGATTTAGCTACTCGGCGCTCCGTTTTAATGAGGAACCAGCATACAGTCATGTAATAAACATTTATACTCAAATAAATTTTCTTACTAAAAAGATATTTTTGTAATTGCAAACCGATTAATATTTTAAGGGTCATGAAAATTTTGATGTGTTTTATTTTGGTTGGAATTGTGTATTTGACGTGACGTCCGTGTTGCTTACTGTATTCATAACACGTGCCGGTCTTTGAACCTTAAATTGTATCATTAGCACAATTTCCGGTGGGTCATAACAAAACAAACTTCGGTTGCAAAATTGTAACTTGACTGTTGTAAAGTTTATTACCGAGAAATCTAATTTGAGGGACGTTCAGACTTCTAGAAGTTTTGTTACTAGGCTGTGAGCTTATTTCGGATCGACAATAGGACACGCGCCTGTTGTTTGATAGTTTTGAGACGGCCAAGATTAGATTAGAATTATGTTTATAAAAAGCAATTGATAAAAATAATTTTATATTTAAAGTATTTGTTTAGAAAATAGATATAACTACCTATCTCATACAAGTACAGTATATATACTGTTTTTATTTGATTATATTATACCTACTGCTTTTTCAAGCTTTAGTTATCTTATAGCCTTAAAAATAAATTGTGATAAATATCTGTGATTCGTTTTAATCAGATTTAAATTGTAAAGATAATTTACGACATTACGATGATGAGACGTAATCTTGAATACTTAACCCATCCAAAAAATGTCATCATCAATCAATAAAAATGATGAGATGAAATTGCATTTCATTATTAATTTCATTTGTAAAGTATGAAATAGAATTAATGTATTACTTGTAACATTTTATATCTATTATATGTTTCACAAAGTTTTTCGTCTAGTTAGGAACTGAGTCTAAATTAGTAAAGATATGAAATTGGACTATATCAAATACTATGAAATTTACTTCTTACGTATAATTACATATTAATTAATACAAGTGCGAATAATAATAATAAAATGTTTAAAATGATTATATACATCAAATCGGTATAGAAGACGTATTATGATTGTTTAGAAGACAAAAATTCTCATACAAAGAGTATGTTACGGCAATGTACGAGGGATGTTTAACAATTGTACGGGGAGAGAGCGCACTGACAAAGCACACTCAGCTGACTAAGTGTGAGTCCACTGAGATCTAGATTTAAAAAAAACTGTCTACCAGAGCTTCAAAATCTCGCACGACAACGCTTTTATCTTACTAGGTTACACTTGTTTATTAAGGTTAAACGATTCAATATCAGGACAATTAAGCATTATCGCAGTCTTCCTTTTTATGGACGAGTGATTTATGGGAAGCATATATACTTCTATTTATATCATTTATTTTCAATTCGTTTATGGAATGCAATATAAAAATATTATTGAGAAGAATTTTTGTAAAACAATCGTACGAGTATTGGATGCCATACCGTTTGATTGAAATAAAACGAGTGTTTCGATGAATATGAAAATAATTAGTACGTAATATTTTTCAAATAGCTGGTTGGATCGTAGTGAATATTGTTTTCGTATGGTTTCTGGAATTTCTTCGAACAACGAATATGACTACTGGAATTTGCTTTGAAGCTTTTTTAATTTTATTCATAGATAGGTAGATTGAGTTTTGCAGCGTTTTGAATTCGAAAAAGTTGAGGTGATAATCGAAATTTTTCCTTATTTGGGAATTATAATATATATTTATATTTTAATAAAAAATTACAATTATACAACTGTTCCATTAATTCATCGAACTCAATACAAGAGTATCTTTGGTACGACTGCAGTGAAAGTCGTTGCAGTTGTAAAATTAAAAAATGAAATACATAGTAGTATGTAGTATTATATATTTGTAAAAAATTATCTTCTATTATTTATTCTTACTTATAAATAGTGTCTGTACATTTTTTTTATTGTAACATCATTGCTTCCGGGAAAAAAGGGCGTATCAAAATTTTATGACAGATAAAGTGTTGGACAAACAGAATCCAAAAAAAAAAAGATAAAATTTAATATTTTAGAACCAACACATGCGATATAAATATTTAATTTTATTACGAATAAAGAATTTCTAATAAATAAAAGACGTATCTGATGAATCAGCTTTAAGAAATATGTTTTATTTTTATTTAAGCTTTGTTTTCTAGATTTTTATTCACAAACGAATAATTATTAACTTTAACATACAGGAAATGTTAAAATCAAAACAATATGGGCGTGTTCAATCATTTTTAATGTAATCAATCATTTAAACCTCAAAACTACTGGGATTCAACTAGCTAGTTACTTTTTTTTTACCAACGCAATATAGAGTAAAACATGTTTTGGCACTTTAAAAATGTTAACTTCTAAATTAAATACACATTTCACGTGATGCAATTTAATAACATGGAATTTATCAAACAGGTCGAGAAAAGAATGATTAACGTATAACTCATTAATAAAATTGACCTCATTGTGTACAGTCGTTGTGAAAAAGGTTCTAAGAAAAATTATATCACATATCACCTCTTAATACTACTCCACATTTCTATCTTGTAAATACAATATGCTTAAAATATATAAAGGTTATCAATTAGGTATGTCAAAAAAAAAATCTCGATGTTTAAAAAACCTTGTAGATAACATTTCGAATGAATTGACACAGCATTCGTCTTATTCTG